CAGAGTACGGAGTACAGTACCGGTTAATATTGACCTCGATTGATGAATGGTAGGGTCATGCGGATTCCAGGTGTCGTTGAGATCAGAGAAGTGTAATGAGTAAGGTACCAAGAGCTTCCGCTAGACTTAAATCTGGGCCTGTTCCTGACTTGTTGACCTTTCTCCCGGGACTGCTGAACGTGGAGGTCTCAGAACTGTAATCTTGGCATGCGTGGCTACCCGTCCACGCCGTCTTCTTTGTGTTGCCAGGACCCTTCGTGCTTTCCACGAGGAACAAAAACAATGCGAGCGAGCTGCGCTTGGGAGGTCAAGGCAACATACACCCTCACAGCCCAGGCCCAACCTCTACCTACCTTATGCTTTTCCAAGTAGGTAAGGCCTGGACAGGTGCTGCGGTACTGTATTATCCATAGTGTATGTAGACACACGCCTTTGACTCTCTCCACATGGCGTCTCTTACATCAGCAACAATAATCAAGCCCCAATTTGCAAATCGTGCATTGCGTTTCGACTACCAGCCGTGCCAGCCACAGCGTTCTTTCCCCAAACAAGATGGGGGAGGGGCATGGAGGGGACAGCTTCGGTGGGTCCTTCCAATTGGGCTCTGCTCTGCTCTGCTAGCGTCTGTCCTCCACACTTCCACTCCCACTCCCACTCCCACTCCCACCACTTCCTCGCTGTCGTGCAGACAGAACAGACACCCCAACCCTCACAAACCTCCACCAAAACCCATCCCTCCTACCAACGCTCAGACCTCTTCTCCAACTTGTCTTGTCAACCCCGAATTTCGACCGCTCCAGGCGATCCGCCACTCTGATGAAATCGGTACGCCTCGTCCTCGTTCTCGTTGGCTCAGGCCAAAGCAATTCTTCAGCTCAAAGCCATCAGAACTTCTATCCTTTCTTCCCTTTTGCCCGGGGACCCATATCTCAAAGCGCTGGTAACATTGGCCAGTCGTAACCGTACACAGGACTCTGGGATGGAGGACTAAAGCTACCCCATTCCTGGTTCAGCCGAATGACATCCTTTACATCATCTGAGCCACCGTCCCTCCGGAAGATCACCCTTGGGTCCCATCTCGAATCCAGATATTCAAACCCAACAATGCTGGGTACGAATACATACGTCGAAAGAAGAACCAAGCAATCATGTACGGGTGTCTCTCAGATGGATGCTACGCTTCGAGGTCGCAATGTGCCTCAATGTGCTAGTCCCACGATCCAACTTCGGCCAAACCAAACGCCCAGCCCAAGGTGATTTGCCTGCGCGCCTACGTACCTCCGCCTGGGTATCCGTACGCTGAAACCCGAGCTAGTGGCTCTCCAGAGGCTTCGTACTTTTCCCCCCTCCGCCAGATCTCGTCAGAGTTCAGCTCAAGTCTTGCCCAAACAAGACGTATTGGCTACAGGGGTCGCAATCGGGGCGCCATCCCGTACAGATCCGGTCGTCGTCGACGAAAACCCACCACACTTGACTGTGAATCTGCAGCAGGCGAGGCACCTGGGCTGCAGGGTGGTCTGGGCCAGCCCGAACAAACACGGATCTTGGCCAAACCGATGCAAGCCTGCAGTGCTGGCTCCTGGTCCGTCTCCGGGGTCCCTTGGCCGCTGCCGTCCTGCTGTGACCGTTCCTGGTGGAACTCAAGGCCGACTAGGTAGGCCATGGCAGGTTGACGGCGGCCTTCTTTGGCACTTTGCTCAGAGATGCAACACAAGCAACGGTGTAGACACTGACGTGACGAGGGTGAGATTCCACCACATATCTGAGGCCCCAAACACGGTAGTACCGTAGTAGGGTTACAGGGGATCAGCCGCAGGCGGCCAACCACCTTCCATGATCCCTCTTGGAATGCGTCTCTGCGGCGTACACACATGGCCGCAAGATAACCTGCTAATACCTCGTAGGATGAGATGGTGTTTGCGATATCGTTGATGCACCATTCATAGAACGGCGAATTACTATCCGTTTCTTCGCCAAACGTTGGTGTTTTCTCTAGCTCAGTGCTGGAATGCGGCTGTAATACCCATACCAAACCGATGGCCAAGAGTATGTCTGGATAGCCACGGCATGCCACCAAATGCAACGGCGGACCTCTGAATTCTACACACGCTTGGCACTCGGAACGGTTATTCCCCGTCCGCGCACCTTAACGATATATGCCACACCACAGAGAAGTGCACAGCCAAACTCGGTCTCCCTTGATCTAATTCGATACCCATGTCTTTACAGACTCGACAGAAATTGGTCAATACCAACGGCTCACCAGAATCTCATGGTATCCTCGTACTCCGTACTCTACTGCGGTAGCATCTTGGTCTGGACACGGCGCATAGGTACCCACTCGCACCGGGAGAGTTTCGGAAGTTACCTCTGGTTGCGGATCCACTGGGCTTCCGGCTCTCCCACTTGATCCCCCCGATCCATCCCTGATTAGGCGCGTGCTCCAGGGCCCCCTTCGACTTCATGGTCCCACATTATAGTGTGGATATCCAGTGCCCGCCCCCCCCCCCCCCCGCTCCCACCCACCTTTCGGGGGTGGAGGCATCCACATCTGTTCGCACTGCCATCGTGGGTCTTGGGCCAGGATGGCACTGGAGAACCTTTCATCTGCAGCGGTCACCAGCAAAATTCAAGGGGCAGCCCTAGTTAGCCACTTAGTTACCTAGAGTGCTAGGCCAGAGTCGGCGAGAACTCAACAACCAACGAAGACTTTAGCAGTGTCTGGATCGACTTACTTGGAGAGACGCGAGGATCATTTTGGGTCCATCTATGGCCGAAGATGCGAGTGCAAGAACAACTGCTGTCCGAACGCGGTCCGACAAGTGTGCTTACGCGGATCGCAAATAGCTCAATGATATTAATTGTCTCTGGCCGTGGACGTTGAGTCAAATAGACTACGGACTCACAGTCGATGCGTTCGTTGGCTGCAGTGAATCGAGGTATCAATCATACAACCCAGCATGTTTGTCGTTGGGCCACTGAATGTAACGTCCAGGTCGACTTCGGGGACTTCATGCTGGAAGTCTGTTTCTCAGGTATCACCATGTTGGTGGGTGTGTCCTTACTTTGGAAGAGATGAGCTGGGTTGTGCCTTTCCTTTTTTTTTTTTTCTTTTTTTTTTTTTGTCGCCGCGCACCCTTCATATCTGGCAAAAACGTCTGACCTTGATATGGAACCTCGGTCTATCTCCCACATTTGTCCTGTTCACCCTGCCGGAGCTTCCAAACCCTCCCCTTTCCATACAGGCATATGGACATACGAGACACTTGAGTCGGGCTGCAGGGACTGGGCTTGTTGATGCTGGCAGTGTACGGAGTTGGTGTTGTGTGGTTTGTAAGTGAAGTTCAGTTCTGGCTGTATGATGTTTACACCATGCCAGGCACTGCTGTATCTCGGTGAAGTTGACACTGCCTCTGCAGTTGCACCTATCTGATTAATATGCAGCTTCTCTTTCCATACTTCGAACCATTGTTATAAAGCCCCACGCCCTCTCTCAATTAGGTTGGAACGAGTACCTTCTCTGTACGGCATGACGGATTCCTCCTGCGCGCTCGGAAAAGCTTGGCAGATCTCGGAGGCATCGCCCGCACGTCTTTACACACGTCACACTTTCTGCAGTTCATTGTTCTCGGTTATACTAGCTCGCCTTTTCGACTTGATCCAAGCCAACACTGAGTCTCAGTTGTGAAAGGGCAGAACAATTCTTCCCACGGTCAAAGCCACAGCCACAGCCACCCCAAGCCTCTAGTGCTGGTACATGGCAAAGTTCTCCCTACTTTCCACATCGCAATTCCACAGCAACACCACACCTGGGCAGCCCGACAAGCCACGAAGAAGACAACAATACCTAACCTATCAATCAACCTGAATTACGAAGTGCGATTGGACCAACTAGCTACACGCGCACTCATCCTGCGGTGAGAGTTGCTATAGAGAGTTGGTTTTCGTGCTTTGTAGCGATACTCCCGTCTGCGGCTGGAGTACCTTATTGTGAACATAAGGTTTCTGGGCATCTGGTCCCTCATCTGAACATCACGAGACGAGGCAAGAGAGTCCACATCCAAGGAGAGACGTACACACAGCCCCACCGCGGAGGACGACGGGGATCACTATATTTTTTTTTTCTTTGGGCCGTGTGCCTGAGACCCAATTGTTGGAACAGTCAGCACCGGTGTGAGTATTCTGTCAGCATCAACAAGCAACAGGCCCAAGAGACATCCCCTGACGAGATTCCAGAAGGAGCAACAACAGCAGAACCTTATTTGCTAGCGAATGGGAGAGACGAGAATAGCCAGCAAGGCTTCCTCTGTTGAGCCCGTTGAGAACGCCAAAAAGTCAGTATCGTATGCGAAATATTTCAGGATAGGGAGAGAGACAATTAAAGGTGAGTGAGTGCGGCACTTACCGGGCCTACAGAGAGCACCTTGGCTATATTGAGTGTGCACTTCGCAGAACCAAGTACGGTTACTAAAGAAAGCGCAGGCGCATCCGTAGACGACGCAGACGCATAAGCAGAGGCAGAGGCAGAAGCAGACGCAGACGACAGACGCACATCCCAAGTGACCTCTCGGTGCGTCACGGCGTCACCCGCCTAACTCCCCCCGGTCGTGTTCCAGCACAGCAACCCACGCACGCACGATACCCCACAATTTGGCCGCCGAAAACGCTTCCGATTCTATTAGGTTGCTTGAGCCCTGCAAGTTGCACGCCTGGCACAAGCTGCAACTCCACAGCTGCGCCCACTTGGATTGGTGCATCCGCGGCCCTCCCAAGCAATCACAGGTCGCCGATTACCACACACCCCCCCCCCCCCCCCACCCTTTTCATTCCATTCTCTGTGCGACGGCCCCCCCCCCCCTCCTCCTCCCCGGCCGGTCGGCCGTCCCTCCCCAACCCCAGTTTTTGCTGCACGAACAAGCCGGCGACATTCCCCATCACCCATCTTTCTCCTCTCTGGACAGTGAGCATCACAAATCTGCTCCGCTGGTTTGGTTTGGTTCGGGGGGGGGGGGTTTTATGACCACCTAGACCTGGACCTTGACCTAGACCTAGACCCAGTCTCCTAGGATGTTTTTTATTTTTTTCTACGGAGTACCTATTCTCTTATTCTCTATTTGCTGCTCAATGAGTGGCCGAGTCAGAGTTCCTCTTCTCCGACAATTCTCGACTGGACGCCTCTTCCTTCTCCTCTCCGTCCCCCGCCCACCCATCCAGTCCCGGTTCTTTCTTAACTTTGTGCTACTGTCACCAGCTTTGTGGAACAATCCTCTTCTTATTCTTTCGAGAACACTAGACGGGACGCCAACATCATCATCATTATCGACGGCCAAGACGTAGGCACGCGACCGGATTGCTTCTTCCTCGGCCGTTAATATTAACATCAACATCAGTCATCACCGAGTCTTCCCGCCGCCTACTGCCTCTTCCTTGCGACCGCTGTGACCCTCCCCCCACTGCTCCAACTCACACTTACACCGGTGACCGCAGTCCAAAGGCATAAACAGGGACAGGGACGAACGCCGTCCTCAGCGCCGGCGTTGTGCGGGGAGCCAGCTTGCCAGCTCGCTCGGCACCGTCTTCTTCCACTGTCGCCTCTTCGTTGATCTTTCTCTTGATTCATGCATGACAAAGGACAAAGTCATCTAGCCTGCAGCAGCTCCAAAGCCAACAACTCAGAGCTGTCAGTCTCGAATATTCGCAGCAACACCCGCACGCTCACGCTCACGCCCACGCCCTCGACTCGCCCGGCGCCCATTCTCATATAACCACTTCCTCAGCATCCCACCAACCCTTTTCCTCAGGAACCCCAAATGACGGTATGCGGTCCACCAGCGCGAACCACAGCGTCGTCGATGCTTCCCACTTTGCCGACGACTTTTCTTTCCCTCCGAACCCGCTGGACGACCAAAGCGCAATGATGTTCCTCGGCGAACCAGATCACGCTGCCGACATGTTCCCGACCTCGCATCGCCCCTCCGTCTCCTCCATCGGTGGTCGCCAAAACTCAATAACAGTCATGCCTGTCGGCTTTGGGAACGCCATGAACCAGCGACGCCATAGTATCATAACCTCGGAAGATGGCAGCCAGGACAGCGGCCACGCCGAGCACAACCCACTCGAGGATGCGGGGGCCGATGAGTTTGGCCTACCTACGCAAATCGCCGGCAACGGGTTCGACCTAGGCGGGAAATCCAAGGACGACAAGACAGACCAGACGCCCGCATGGAGCGAGTTGAAGACCAAGGCCGGTAAAGAACGAAAGCGACTCCCTTTAGCGTGCATCGCATGCCGACGTAAAAAGATTCGATGTTCGGGAGAAAAGCCGGCGTGCAAGCATTGCCTCCGATCAAGAATTCCCTGCGTGTACAAGGTGACGACCAGAAAAGCTGCGCCGAGAACCGACTACATGGCCATGTTGGATAAGCGACTGAAGCGCATGGAGGAGCGCATCATCAAGATTGTGCCGAAAAACGAACAAGACTCCAATGCGGTTTCGCTGACCCGCGCCGTGGTTAAACCGGCAATTCCGGGATCCCTCTCCGCAGCCAAGGCCAACTCCAAGAAGCGAGTTGCCGACGAAGCATTTGGCCAGGATCTCGACCACTGGGCAAAAGCGCCGGCCAAGACGAGAATTGACACGCCGAACAAGAATTTGTCGTTGCAAGCGCAGGAAGCGGAGGAGAATAAGCTCTTTCTCGAGGGGCTCGATGCACTTCCGTCCAAGGAGATCCAGGAACATTTAGCCGAGGTATTTTTCGAGAACATTTACGGCCAAGCATACCATCTGCTCCACAAGCCCAGCTACATGAGAAAACTCAGGTACGTTTTGTTTCTCTTATGAGAGTAATCTACTGAGTAAATGCTTACTTTGAGAATGCAGAGCTGGCACTCTTCCGCCAGTACTCATACTGTCTGTTTGCGCCGTAGCCGCCCGCTTTTCCAGCCACCCGAAACTCAACAACTCATCACCAAACTTTCTTCGCGGAGAAGAGTGGGCATCACACGCCCGGGATATCTGCACCAGGCGGTATGAGTGGCCGAACATCACGATACTAACATGTCTACTTATCCTCGGCCTGCACGAATTCGGTACTTGCCATGGCGGTAGGAGCTGGGCCCTCGGAGGCGAAGCAATCCGCATGGCGTTTGCTCTACAACTTCACAAAGATTTAGACCACGATCCCCTGAATCGGAGCGGAGCATCGCAGCTGAGTTTCATTGACCGCGAGATCCGACGCCGGACAATGTGGGCATGTTTCCTCATGGACCGGTTCAACTCCTCCGGTACCGAACGACCAACCTTTGTGAGGGAAGAGACGATCGAAATTCCTCTACCGATCAAAGAAAAATACTTCCAGCTCGACATGCCAGCACCGACGGAAACCCTCAGTGGCAAGGTCCCTCATCCCGCGTCTGCCGAGGATGGCCAAATGGCCGATGCCAAAGAGAACATGGGCGCTGCGGCTCACATGATCAAGACCATCGCTCTCTGGGGCAGGGTCATCAACTACTTGAACCAAGGAGGAAAGGAGCTCGACCCTCATCCCATCTGGAGCCCGGAATCCGAATACACCAAGCTGCTGCAGCAGTCTGAAGATTTGCTCGACAACCTTCCAGAATTCCTCCGCTACTCCCCAGAGAACGTGGCGCTCCACGACACGGAAAAGATGGCCAATCAATTCCTGTTCCTCCACATCGCGATGCAACAAAACGTCCTGTTCCTCAACCGAGTTGCCGTTTCGACGCCAAACAGCCCCGCTGCCCAAGGCGTTCCTCGGGAATTTGTCGCCAAGGCAGGCGACAAGACGTTTGCAGCCGCCAACAGGATTTCCGAGGTTCTCAAAGACGCCGAGTCTCACATGGTGACTGCCCCCTTTGTCGGCTATTGCGCCTTTTCGTCTGGAACGATCCACATACTCGGCATCTTCTCTGGCAATCCTGCCGTTGAGGCAGCATCGAAACGAAACCTAGCGACGAATGTCAAGTTTCTTTCAAAGATGAAGAGGTATTGGGGCATGTTCCACTACATGTCGGAGAACCTCCGTGAGCAATACCGGACATACGCCGATGCCGCCAGACAAGGCAACTCGACAAAGGAGACGTCAACGGCTTCTCCCATCTTCCAGTACGGCGACTGGTTCGACCGATACCCTCACGGCGTCTCCCAATCCGACTTTTCCGACCCGGCATCTGCGAAGAAGAAGGAGAAGGGCGACGACGCCGTGTTGGAGCAGAAACCGGAACTGCACACCGTGGAGGAATACTTTACGAGTCTGTCGCCACCGCGCAGCACAGAAGGCAATTCGTCCAGGCCCAACCCGCTGAAACGCAAGTCTTTTGCCGGAAAGAAACTCGGCACTCCGGGCATCAGAGCAGATGGAAGCCAGCTGGAACCCCTTTCCACCGAGAACATTGCTGCCACGGCGCAAGAGCAACTAAGCGCCCGCATGCAACAACAGAGAGGCATGCAGCAGGCCTCGCTTGGCGGCCAGACCAGCGGGCCGACCAGCTTCAACCCGCTCACCGTGCCACATTCGCAGGGTTCCAACTACCACGCCCTATCTCCCATCAGTCCCATTGCCGTCAGCCAGTACGGGCACCACCACCCGGGCACTCCGTCATTCTTTTCTCCCGACTTGCTCAACGTGTCGATGAATCAACAGAACGGCATTTTGCAACCCCTGGACCGGCAGCTCGTGTTTGGCGGATACTCCATGGAACAGGGCAACATGAGCCACTTTGACGGCATCGACTGGGACGGCATGCTCAGTAGCGCCCACAGCGCACCTGGAGGAGGAGCGCACAGGGAAGGCGCTCGCTCGCGGCCACCGCGTGGCGGTCCCAACGGCATGGGCGGGCCCGGCCACGGACATGGAGACGGCATGGGGTTCGGAGGCCAGGAGGCGTCGACGGCGTGGTTCATGCCGTTTAACATGGAGCCGCCCGAGATTGGGCAGGACATGGGTATGAATATTGACGGGTTCGGCAACATGTTTGGCAGCGGCTTGCATCACGGAGCACGATGAGCTCGGATGAAATGTGCCGTCGCCAGGTGTGTTTGTGCCCCTGAGCATTGTATCAACTTTGCATTGTACATATGCCTCGGAGATCTTCTTCTCCATATGATTTTCCTCTCTCCAAGTTTATGACGTATATGATGGGAAAAAAGACGGATGGCATGGAATATGGAGACGTGGGGGGGGGGGGGGGGGGGAAAGGAGACAATCTCACGGGTTTTTATAGCTTAGCGATTTCCTGAACATTTCATTCTTGTGAGATACCACCACCAAAAAAAATCTTAATGCAAAATATGAAAGAAATGTCTGCAATTATTTTGAACGTCTCCTTTTTTTTCTCTCTAACAAAGTGACTTTTTTTACAACCGGAAAACCAAAACCTGTACATGGTATCGTTTAGGTCTAAATGAACTACTTTTTTTTGGGTACCCGAACGAAAAGCCTTGGATGCAAACAACAACTGACAAGTAAAGCATGTCACACTACGAGCTTCTTTTTACTCCTCCGCGGTGACGACGCCCTCATCAGCCTTCTTCTTCCCCCTAGACCTCTTCCGCTTCTTCCCACCATCAAGCGCAGCACCACCATCCTCGACATCCTCCTCCTCTCCTCCACCTTCGCGCTGCTGCTTCTCCTGCGCAGCCCGCTTCGCACCCCTCTTGCGCCCCTTCTTCTCCTTGACCTCCACATCCTCCAACCCAAAAGTCGGTCCCGTCCTCTCAAACTCTTCCCCGAAATGCTCCCTCCGCCACTGCCGAAGTCTCGCCTTCTTGCCCAACCTCTTTTTATCTTTCCGCTTCTTCTCCTGGTCGCGGAAGGTGGCTAGCTTTTTGAGGCCGGCGAAGCTGTTGAGGGCCGCGTCCGAGGGCGCGAGGAGGATGTCGCGCGCCGTCATGCCAAAGGCTTGCGGGGACGTTTCGCGGTAGCGGAAGGCGGGGGTTTCGTTGGCGGCGGCGGCTTCGGTGGCGGATTTGTGGAGGGAGGCGGAGCCGGGGATGGTGTCTGCGGCGGCGTCGATGTCCATTTTCGCGTCGACGAGGGCTTCGAGTTTGGCGCGTTGGAGTTTGGATGCTTTTTTGGCAGTGAGGCGGTCTTTTTTCATGCCTTTTTGTGTTTTGCGCTTTTTGGAGGGGCGGGAGTCGGAGTCGGAGTCGTCTGAATCAGAGGCAGCGTCGTTGGCGGCGGCGGCATCGCCTGCGGTCGCTTCGTCGTTGGAGAGTGTAATTTGGGGGTTTTCCGTGTCGTCCTTGAAGTCGGGGATGATGTCGTTGATGTCAATGTCGTCGTCCCACATGGGCTTCTTGGGCTTGCTCTTCTTCTTCTTGCCATCCTCCTCCTCATCGTCCGACTCAGCAGCAACGCCCTCGACCTCGGCGTAGTAATCCTCGCCGAACCGGCGCTTCATCTCGCTCTCCCACCGATCGTCGTCCCACGCATCGTTCAAGAAACGCAGCCACTCGTCGTCCTTGAGCTCCTCGCCCCGCAACCCGGCAGCGTGCTTAATCTTCTTGAGCTTCTCCTCCGCCTCCTCGAGCTTAAGCTTGCGCAGCCTGGCCTTTTCTTCCTTGCGCTCCGCCTTCTTGGCCTCCTTCTTCTCCTTCTCGGCGTCGCGCTGCTTGCGACGCGACGTGGCGGCCTCTTTGCGGACGGAGCGGGCGCTGACGATTTCACGCGAGTACGTCTTGAGCGCGGCGTTGGACTTGTCCGGGTCCTCGAAGCGGAGGTTGTAGGCCGCCTCGAACTTGTCGTAGAGCTCGCCGTCGTCGCCCTCGCCGTCGTCCGAGTCAAAGGCCTTCCAGTTGTGTTCGCCTCCCTCGGTCCAGGCGCGGGCGGCCATGAAGTTGGAGAGGAAGAGCTCCGGGTCGCGGTCGGCGTTCTTGATGTCGTCTTCGGTGATTTGCTTCTTGGTCTTCTTGTTCACCTGCTTTGCGCGGGCCGGGTGCACGCCGTCGATGGCGGGGCCGTCTGCTTCCATCTTGGCGACTTTTTGTCCTGGTTTCCGCTGGACAAAGTCCTCGTCGTCCGCGCCGCCGTCGGCTGCCTTGTTGATCTCCGAGATGATGGACTTCTTGAGGGCGTCCTGCTCCTGGTTGTACGTCTGCGGGGGCGCGTCGTCGTCCTCGTCGTCCGAGGCGCCGACGCCACCGGCCAGGATCTTTTCGCGATGGTAGTCCTTGAGGAACATGGGCTTCTCCTTCTTCGTCTTGGCGGGCGTGGCCTCGCCGCCCTCCTGGAAGAAGGAAAAGTTGCTGTCGAGGACGCGAGGGTCCTTGTTCTTGATCGCGTTGAGGGTGGCGGAGATCTGGGCGTCAAGGTCCTCCGTCGCGAGGAAACCATCTTCATCCTCGGTCTCGTCCGAGGAGGACGAGTCGCCGTCAGAGTCGTCGTCGGCTTGCTTGCTGTTGCCGGGTTTCTTGAACTTTTCCTCGACTGCATATAGCCTTCTGTTAGAATACTGCCATAAATCTTGCTAGCGACAGCAACCAATTGGGTTGGACCTACGTCTGTGCAACTCCTCGCGCTTCTTGTTGTGTTCGAAGCGCCTGGCGAACTCCTCGTTGACCTTCAGCGTCGGCGCCGCGATGTCTGCCCCTCCATCTTCGTTGTCCGAGTCGCTGTCGTCCAAAAGGTTGACCCTCTTGGGGGCTTTCTCCTTCTTGGTTTCCGGTGCCATTTTGACAAAGTTACTTCCCTAGTATCGGAAGTGGATGTGCAAAATACTTCGTCACAAAAAAGAGACGGCGAAGGAAGTGAAGTCTTGCAAGTCGCGGGATGGGACCCTCTAGAATTGAAGATCCCAAAGGTGGTCAAGCAACTTTTTTTTTTTTTCTGCCGCTTAGCCCAGCAAGCTGCTGCACGCTGTTGGAAGGCCCCCTGCACAGGGTGGGAATCTTGGCGGGGCCCGCCCGTGGGATACGGAACACCGGCGCATTGATTCTCCGCCGCCCCTCCAGGGGACTCACCTCAGGTCACTGGAGCTGAGGTGCGAGGGAGAGAGCATTGGCCAGCGGCGCCGGGGGGCGGGTGCGCTCTTCGGGGGGCGCTTCGTCATTGTTGCGCCTCACCACACTCTTCGTTTCAGTGGCCGAGCTGCTGTCCTACCTACCACTACGAAAACCGTCCAACCACCCACACACACCCATCGCGAAGGCAGCAACTTACAACTTTCGTGCGTCCCTGATTCCATCCGAACCGAAACTCCACATCATTCCACCCACCGGCTTCAATCGCAAGAAATCCCTTTGAAAGAAAAAAGCAAACGGTTGTCGTTATCGACCTGACTTACCGAACAAGATGGACGGATCCGGCGGTGCCCCGAAGCCGAGCAGCAGCGTCAAGCTGGTCCTGCTCGGTGAAGCTGCCGTAGGAAAGGTGCGGCCACCATCCGAACCCAGCATCAGAGCTTTCTTGCTAAACAGCATCGCAGTCATCGCTTGTCTTGCGCTTCGTCAACAACGATTTCCAGGAGAATAAGGAGCCCACCATCGGAGGTACGAAACGCTGCCCGCTGCCATCCGCAGACAGAGACCAGTCCGTTTGAGAGCGAAAAAGAGCTAACCTGTCCACTCCTCGCCCCCTTGCAGCCGCCTTCTTAACACAAAAGTGCAACCTACCGACCCGGACGATCAAGTTCGAGATCTGGGATACCGCCGGCCAGGAGCGGTTCGCCTCGCTGGCGCCCATGTACTATCGCAACGCCCAGGCCGCCCTTGTCGTCTACGACCTCACGAAGCCCACGTCACTCGTCAAGGCGAAGCACTGGGTGGCGGAACTCCAACGACAGGCCTCGCCGGGCATCGTCATCGCCCTCGTTGGCAACAAGCTCGATCTGACAAACGACGCCGAGACCGGATCCGCCGGCGATAACGAGGAGGCCGACGGAGAGGACTCTGGAGACGCTAGGAAGGTTTCGACGGAGGAGGCCAAGACGTACGCCGAGGAGGAGAGCCTGCTCTTCTTCGAGACCAGTGCCAAGACGGGCCACAATGTCACCGAGGTCTTCACGGCCATCGCCAACGCCATCCCCGAGACGTCGTTGAAGAGCGCGCGGGGTCCGGGCGCATCGCACGCCGTGAGCCGCGGCGCAGAGGACCAGCAACGGGTCAACCTTACGGGTTCGAGGGATGCGGCGGCGAAGGAGGGATGTGCCTGTTAAAGTTGTAGACTGAGGAAACTGCGTGCTTGTGTAACATTTCGAGAAAGGATGATTATTGTTTTTGCAAAGGAGGGATTCCTTTTTTTTTTTTGGCCGTTTTTCCAACCTCCCCCTTCATCATTTTGGAGTCGATCAGTTTTTATGCGCTGCATTTCTGCTATAGGGTTTCATTTATGGGAGCGTCCATCCGGCAGTAAATGGGAAGTTCGTCATGAGTCGAAATTCAGACACAGTCGCTTTGCACCACTTTACATGGCGACTCCCCCGTCATGGTCGTGGTGTAAAATGGTCCTACTTGTGCTGGCAAAGTTCGCGGAGAAGACATTGGGAAGGATTGCGGGTCAGTTTGGAGCTGATGCTTCGTAGTGCATTATGTAGACAGAATCTCATAATTCAAGAATACTTATGGCATCATTTCGTCTCTTTGGATTCACCAAGGCGGTGATAATCTTGACTTGCGGTTTACATCACCCCATGCTGCCAAAGGAGCGAAGTATGCGGAGGTACGGCCCAGTGGGCGAGTAATGCACCTGGCTGGTGGCTGGATCAAGCAGGTACGGGCCACCACCTAAGGTAGGTATGTAAAGGTAGGCAAGGTGCTGTAAAACACTGTAAAACCAGCAGGCCGGGGAAGGTGAATGAGCGCAGCTGGTTGGTCAGCCACCGCCCACGCGTCCCACTCTTTTTCTGGCCCTTCCCGCGCCTCGTCCACCTCAAACTGCTCCGTCACTTCAGAATCTTTTTCACGACCACCTGCTTCTTTGCGCAAACAAGCTCAACAACAAGCAACCGTCCGTCATGACAGCGTCTCGCGCGACACGCTGAAACAGTCCTCATTTCTCTTTCTTCATACTAATACCAGGTCGACGGCGACGCGGCCATTTTTTGTTGTTGTACTTTCCCACACCCCTCCTTCGCCCATGTATCTCTCTTCTTGATATTCCTTTTCCTCCACAACGACGACAGCATGGCTGTCCACCTCACCCCGGTCCAGGTCGAGCTCATCAAGCAAGTTTCTCGCGCCCGTTTCTTGACGCCGATTCGTCTCAATCGCATTGCTAACCAGGTATCTCTAGCTCACTTGCGCCCGACGACATTCCGATTAAGCTGCGATGCGCCAGCTGTAGCAAACCCGCCGTCAACGCTTTCCGTCTTCCCTGCTGCGAGCAAGCCATCTGCGAGACTTGTCAGTCACTCGAATTCCGTTTTCGCTCCCGCGTGCAGCTTCTGACCAATCCTTCTAGGCCAAAGTTCCCTGCCCTCATCCTGCCCCGTTTGCGAGCATTCACCCGTATCCGCCGACGACTGCACGCCGCTCAAGTCACTCCGAACAACGATCAAGGTTTTTATTCGAACCCAGGAGAAGAAGCGTGACGAAGCACGATCAAAACAGGCAAAGGACTCAGCGCCTCCTACTCCAATTGATGCGAAGCCGAATGCGCAGATCGCTGGCCCCGATGAGACTCCTGCCGCCGACACACCTCCACAACCCGCCGTGGTCTCCGACGAACGCGAAGAGAGCGCCGTTGCCCAGCCTGAGCCAGTTGTAGAAGCCAATCCGACCGACGATGCGGATGCTGACGCCACTGCGGCACAAGACCAAAACGTTGGTGTTCCGAAGACGACCCTGTCAGTGTGACGTTTTGCTAACCAATCGATTAGGATGCGCCCAACCACGACGAAGAGCCTATCCTCTCTAAGGGAGAGGATGACGATGACGAGACGGTCATTATCACTGGCGATGAGACCGCGGCCGATGGCAGCAAATTAGTGAGACCGCAGGAGGACGACGTTGCGGACGATAACGACGGCGCAGAGGGCGACGACGCGAATGCGAACGGCAGCGCCAACTTCAACGGAATGAACGGAGGCAACTTTCAGAATATGAACTTTACTGGGAATGGTGACTTCAACCAAATGCAGATGATGATGGCCATGCAGAACGGCATGGGCTCCAACTCGTTTGGCAACTTTCCAATGATGGGTAAGCCCCCCCTCCATGTTCGCACGTCAACGGCCCAAGCTAACCTTGCCAGGTATGCCAGGAATGGGTATGGACCCAATGGCGATGCAGAACATGTACATGAACGGCGGCTATGGTCCTCAAGGCATGGGCATGGGAGGCTTCAGCGGTGGTTTCGGCTCAGGCTCCAATAACTGGAACGGGCAACAGTCATGGAATTTCGGCCAAGATAATTTCAATTCTGCTAATGCTGCTGGCATGGGATCTGGTGACTATGGCAACTATAACTCAGGATTCCAGTCAGGGTACAATCAAGGTAATTATGGTCACCAATTCAATGATTACCGCCGCAACAATTACGGCAACCGTGGACGAGGAAGAGGACGCGGCTTTTACAACGGTGGCTACGGTCGAGGCGGATACCAACAGTATGGCGGCTATGGTGACCAAGGCCACGCGCAACAACAGTATGGAAACAACATGCCCGGCCAGGGATCCGAGGATGGAACCCGTGCGGCAGGCAACGTTGACGAGTTTGGACGCGAGCGCCCAAATGACCAAGACCAAGATGCGACTTCCAATGCAGGAGGTGGCGACAACACAGATGGCGGTGACCTGTCCAGACCTGCGGACGAAGGCGGGGACGAGCAAGGCCAAGCGGATCAGGAGAACGCTATGAATACAGACATGGCACAGGCATCCGGTGACTACTCTGCGTACAACGGGAACGGCATGTCGGGAGGTTATGGTCCTCCAGGATTCGCGCCTACCGCCCCTGATGTTCCTATAAATGCTCCGACAGGTCCCAAGGCTATGCGTCAGGGTCTGCCGAATACAAGTTTGCACACCTTGCGGGCGCGAGGATACGTTGTCCCTGATGAGAGAGGCCGACAATCGTCGGTGGACGCACTCGCAATTGAGAGTCCCGTCGTGGACCAACAGCAGCAACAGCAGCAGCGATCCAGAAGCAACTCGTCGACGCGCACCAAGGATAAGGACAGGAGCCGTCGCCGAGATGCGAGCCGTGACCGTGAGAGAGAACCTGACGTCAGGTCGGAGAGAGAACATGGCGTAAGAGAACGAGACTACTCACCCTCACCCTCACGCAGCAGAGACCAGAGTCGCGAGCGCAAGAGCGAGCGCGGCGCCGGCGACCGAGATCGGGAACGCGACCGCGGCGATCGCCACCGGCGCCGGCGCAGACGGTCAGAATCGAGATCCGTCGTTGATGATCGAGACGATGAGTATCGTCGCAGGAAGCATAAGAGCAGAAAGCACACCTCATACAATGACGAAGACGACGTCAAGTCCCGGTCCAGAGACGACGGTCAGCACGAAGAGAGGTCCAGGGAGGCGTCGCCTAGCGACTCGAAACGATCTAGCCATAGGAGCCGCAGAGACCGTGATGGGAAGCGCCGCGATCGAGAGAAGGACAATAAGCACCGGGACGACGACTACGACGACTACCACAGGAAGTCTAGCCACCGCTCGCACAGAGAGAGGGACCGGGACCGGGACCGAGACCGGGGAGATCGAGACAGGGATCGGGATCGGGAACGTGATCGCGACTACGACCGTGATCGTGACCGCAAGGACCGCGACCGCGAGAAAGATCGGAAGCGCGACAAGCACAGGGACCGGGAACACCGTCACCGCAGCAGCCGGAAGCAGTCGGCGGAGCCGCCTACCCCAGTCGACAGGGACTTTAACCCGCCCACCGGCCCTCGTAGCGGCGGCGGCTCCGGTCTGGAGATCAAGGGCGTTGGCTCGAAATCCGGCAGATCGTCCGACAGACAGGACGGAGGACGCCGAGACTCCCAGGCCTCCGTCACCAGCAAATCCGCGCCCAGCGTCCCTACGAAAGACGCTCACGCCCTGGAGCGCGAGGCACGGGATCGCGAGCGTCTGCTGAAGGAGACGCAGCGCATGGCTGGTCTAGCGGGTTTGGCGGGCTCGAAACGTAGTAGAGATGAGAGTAGTGGCGGCGGAGGCGGTGACGACGGCAAGCGGAGCCGGCGGAAGGGGCGCCGTAGCGAAGCTATCAGCATCGACGAGGAGGAGGAGCGGATGCGTCGCATGGAGGCGGAGCGCGAGGGCAGCCGTTGGGGCTAGAAGCCTGGCGGCCCGCCTCGTTCTGGTGCTGGTGTTTCTGGTACTGCCGGTTCGCGTGCGACGGAGGAGACGATTGGCAGGCTTGGTCGTCACAATGTTCGACCTACCAGGTCTCGGAGGGTGGACAACCGCACCGATCACTACTGAGCATGGGAGGGGGAAGATATTTCCCACCCAGAGGTCGAAGGGAGAGTCCGATACCGCTCTCATGTCCGGGGGAGCCATTTTCCCAGATTCAATGGCTATTACCCTGTGCCAAGCGTTTGCTTCACAGAGCATGATATCACCCCAGCGGACTCTGATTGACGATGTTCTTTTCCGTAGCGAGGAAAGACTCGCTCCAAAGAAAAAGGGGAAGGGGGAAGGGGGAAGGGGGAAGAAAAGAAAAGTAATAGCGGCTTGTGGGACCACAAAAGGGACTAGGTAGACTTATCACGCTTCAGTAGCCGGCATGGGCTGTTATAGAGTCTCAACACAACGCTTTGACATGATTATTTTTCTTCTCTTCAATGTGACTTAGGCGAAGTGCTCCTCGATGTGTTGTAGGGTAACTTGAAGTTCATTGAAGCTACCTGATAAGAAACCACCAGAAGCACAAACTCTGCCCAAGAAACCCCTTTTCCCTCGCGACAGTTATACACCTCTACTTGTATTCCCACGATACTTTCCAACGAGTGACACCGGTAGTATGTATACTCTGTAAGCACTTGTGGTCGATATATTATCACCACTCCCTTGTAAGCTCAGGCTCTCTGAAGCGATAAGGCCGCCGAGGTTTCTCGAGGGCCCCCAAGGCCTCCCCTTGGCAATCTCTATTGAACTCGGAATGGATCAGGCGAAACTGAACTGTCACCGCCTTTCGAGGGTCGTCAATCGAGTAGAGAGTCTGTATCTGTCTTTTTATGGCAAACCAAAGGTCTCCGTCGGATACGCCTGCAAACTCAGGGGTGTTGCGAGCCTCTGCCCAATCCGGCAGGGGGTTGGGTCCTGCTGCTTGAATTTCCTCCCATGCCTTTTCGACCAACAGCTCTCCGTCTTCTGCAAGCCAGTCGCGAGTGGTCGCAATTGTGAGTGATCCGAACCCATGTCTGTAGTCGGCGGGTATCGACAGTGCCGCGAGCGCTGCGCGAAGCTCGGCTCTGTGCCTCACTGGCGTGCGAAGGTCGCCGTATGGACCCAACCTCTCTAGGCGTTCAGCAACGGCTCCAAGGGGGTAGGGCTTGAAGAGGTATGCCCAGCTGCCTGTTCGTGTCTCTGGACGACAGAGGCCCTGGACGTAAATGAGAAAGTCCGTGGGGTCGTGGACGTTTATGTACCGCGTCGCAAGTCGCCCATTAGCCGACTGCTATGGCGTCTCTGGGTATTCTAACTGCGGATACTCGATACTCGGACAATCCAGTTCTGGGCTAATTCGCGTATTTGTACTGCGTTCGCGATCCGCAGAGGAGCCATCAGAGAGTTCCGGACAGCTGTCCATGCTCCAGTCTGAGGAGTCGTCGTCCAGCATGGGGTGATCAAGCTCTCCTTCAATATCACTCATCGCATCATCTTCTTGGTAAGACAAATAGGGGTCTCCGAGTTCTGGACGTCGGCCGGAGTAGAAAACGTAGACAGGTCGTGCTGCGCGTACGAGATCGGCATCGCTTGGCCCTTCCCTCGGCGGCCGGGGCTGGGGCCTCAGAGATCTTAGATACTCCGCTGCGTGGGCGTCGCGGGGCTGTGGGCAGTCCTGGCATTCAATTTCGCGGTGTTCTAAGCATCGAATGATGAATCGGGTACCCTCGTATGGACGTCTCATCGCGTACACTTCCTAGTTCTCGACTGGGGTCCATGGGGTGTCCAAGGCTCGCGTGGAAGGGGAAAAGCCGGGTGGTGGGAGTGTCATGATGTATGTTTGCGATGGATTCGAATAACGTATTTGCAGAGTAGACCAATAGATTCTGGTGAATTAAGCTCTATGGGGGACGATGAGAGGAAAAGCAGTGGATGGGGAAGATGTTGGGAGAGGAATAGAGGTGGCATTTCTATTACAGAACTTGCCGCCAGGATGCCCAATTGGCCTGTCCCTCTCAATTTCAGAGTTCATGGGCATGACCTTCCTTAAGTCAGGCTGAGGGGTAGTCCTTGAGTTGCGAACCTTCCCAGATATGGGCACATCACGGATTTACCAAGTTCTTCACCTCCCGTTCCTGCCGCGTCAGTTGTGTAACTTGAGCGTGGAAAGTCCTATGCCAGCTCACCCGGTGTTCTTTCCAATCTTCAGATCTGCAAACTAATCTATCGTACGGGGAAGCTTGTCACACGCCTGGCACCTGGCCTGAGCCTTCAGATCTTCATATAGGACCGTTGCGAGGGCGAGCTTGCCTACATTTCCAAGCACATCATGACGATGGCATTTACTCTCACCAAGGAATAGTCCCATCCCTGTTCGAAAACGCCCCCGACACAGCACTCCCCTCCTCCAGCGTAGCCATCTCCACAATCCTCTTCGCCCCCAGCTCAACCGAAGCAGCGCCATGATTAGCCAGCAGATCCTTCCCCATAAACGCCGTCATCTTCGTCTCAATGAGCCCGGGGCACACAGCATTCGCAACGCCCCCGTCACCCTTCAACACCCTAGCATAACCGATGGCCAACATATTGACCGCAGCCTTGCTGGCATCATACGCCTTGACCGCAACGTCGTAGAACCCGGCGCTCCCGTCCAGGGCAGCGGCCATGGACCCCTTAGTCGAGCTGACGAAGACGATGCGCGGGAACTGGGCCTTGCGGAGGAGCGGGAGGAGCGCGTCGGTCAAGACGGCGGTGCCGATGACGTTAGTGGAGAAGGTGGACGTCCACTGCTCACACACGGAGAGGTTGTCGTTCATGTCGAAGTGAGCGCCGGCGTTGTTGACCAGGACGTCGAGTTTTCCAAACGTCTCGGATATGAAGGCCGCCGCTGCGAGGATGTCTTTGTCGGCGGTGAGATCGAGTTGGATGGCGGACGCGGACAGGCCGCGAGACGTGAGGGCATCGGCTACGTCTCGGCCTGCTTTGAGGCTGCGAGAACCGATGATGACGTGGTAACCATGAGCAGAAGCTAGGATTTCGGCAGCAGCGCGGCCGATGCCGCCGTTAGCTCCGGTTATGAGTGCGACTGTTGGGGAGTTCACGATGCTGGGTTGTTTGGTGATGGTTCGATGCGAGGTTAGTGACGAGAGGTATGCGTGATACTCATTCAAGTTCGTCGCCTTATATGAGTCGTCCTCTACATGCCTGAAAGTATCGCGATGCTTAGTTATGAGCCAAAATGAATCATAATGATATCCCTGCAGAGACAAAGCAAGTAGAGTCGCGAGTAAACGTCTCGCCAGCCTCTAAAGTGACAAGGTCCGAGCCAGATGCGAGGTCTTCGCACAGTTGACCTATGGAGAAGAAGTCCAAACCTCACAGAATCGTCCGATAAGCAAGCATTCGAAGCCTGTTCTACCTTACAATGCTCCACCCGCTTGGCATCGTGGACTAGGAAATAGTTGAAAACGCAACTCTGTACACGGAAACCGAAACCGAGATCCGCTTTATATAAGTTCGGTCTTGAAGCCTCTCCGGATGACTCTTCGCCGCCTGCGCCAAGACCAGGGGGGTACCGGAATCTCACAACTATCCGTCCGGGCTCGACCCGCTTTTGCGGTCTCTCAATGGTAAAGATGCCGGCTTTTTCAATCGGCGCTGAACGTAGTTCAAGTGTTGTGCAAGAAATACCACATCGTAAAAGAGGTCCAACGTACCTTAGTCGAAATCGATCTCGAATACGTATTCAACAGACATGCACGGAAGTCGCTTGGAAGCATTTCACAAATAGCAAAGTGCTCAGTTCGCCTATGCATATTTCGTATAGGCAAGTAGTTGCGTCTGGATTGTTATCAGGACGAAATTCGGTGGCCTCCCGCTGGGCCTTCGACGTGAAAATGTTGATAGCGTCTTTGGCGGTTGATGTCGTGTGGCATATATGACGAGTAAGACCAGGTTGTTCAGCTCGAACAGTTGCCGGTGCAAACGGGCCCTATCGCCTCCAGTACATATGAAGATGTAGGAAGGGCTCAATGGGCCATGCCAAGCAATCTAAGCATCGCCCTCTCCATTGCCTTCACAACGTCTCATAACCGATTGAAAGAGTGAGAAAGAAAAAAAGTCGCATTTGCCACCATAGTTGGCGGTGGGTATCTATCTAACATACTTGCTCATAAACCGCTTGTGGAAGTCGGAACGCAGGAGATCCTATACGCATGTCAGCAAAACCATCGTTACACCGGTTGCACTCACCCTTCAAAGGGGTGCTTAGACCAAGAGGGGTGAAATACTCACGTTGACAAACTCCTTGCCCTTCCCCTTCTCCTCAGTGCCCCTCGCCTGGTTCTTGAAAACGACGTCGTCGTCCCACCGCCTCTTCATGTTGAAATCGGGCTTATTCAACAGCGGGTTCCCCAACGCAATGTCCCTCTCCCGCGCCTCCTCCTCCACTTTGGCCCTCTCCCTTTCTTCCTTCTCCCTCTTCTCCGCCCTCTCGCGTCGAATCTTCTCCATCTCACGCTGCAGCTCTGCCTCCTCATCATCGCTGTCCTCATCACTATCATCGTCGTCTTCTTCTTCGTCTGCTTCCTCATCTGAAGATGCGTCCACGTCCCGCGATTCCTCTAATATCCTCCTCCGCTTCGCTTCAAAGTCCTCTTCCGCGTCTACTTGCGACCCGGCCTCGAGGGCACGCTTCACGCCGCCGCCCGAGGGCGCGTCCATGTCGGTGTCGGCATCGTCGTCTGCGGAAGGGGGAAGCGCACCGCCGTTCTTCTTGGCGAAGTGGGCGGCCTCGGCGGCGAGGAGCTCGGCTCTGAGGTCGTGAGATTCTTCGTCCGCGTTGCCGCCCTGGCCTGCTTGGCGGAACTTGAGTTGGGTGTGCGCTGGGAGGAGGCGTTGGTGGTAGGCCGGACCGCGGAGGGCTTCTTTGCCTCGGGCCTAGTTAGTTCGTTAGTAAGGATAAGTTGTCGCGGAGACTGAAATGGGAACATACCGGGTCGAAGGTGGGACGATGGGCGGTGGTCATGTTGGCACTTAACGACGGGTCGTGGGAATTGAAGAGTGGTGGATGTTGAAGGAGGCTGAAAGTACCTAATCCGTAGATTGACAATTGACGTTTGGTCCCCCAGCAAATGCAATGCGACGCGCGCAGCTCGCTGAGTGGGTCCAGCTGCAGGGGAGGCGACACTTTAAGGCTTCGACCGCCCGGCAGAATTTTTGCAAGCGCCCCACCAATGCGATTGACCTCACTGAACACTTGCAGGTCACTCACTATTGGATCTCATGAGTTTCTCAGTCTGGAATTGCTCTCACAATTTACCAATTTCAACCGCCAGAATGCCCAGAGAAGCCGAGCCGTCAGCGAATGAGAAGGCTTTCGTCACACAAGCTCTCAAGGAGAACTTGAGACTTGATGGCCGGGAATTCGACCAATATCGAAAAGTCCAGCTCACATTTGGCGATGAATATGGAGTGGCCAACGTCGAACTTGGCAAGACGAGGTCAGTAACTCACGTCATTCTCACCCACTAGACCAATATTGTTAACCCATATCACAGAGTCCTCGTCAGAGTCTCGGCAGAAGTGACGGTCCCCTACTCAGACCGCCCCTTCGAGGGCGTCTTCCAAATCACCACCGAACTCGGCCCCATGGCCTCCCCAGCCTTCGAGGTCAACCGCCCAACCGAAGCCGAGGTCCTCCTCTCCCGCCTCCTCGAGAAGACGGTCCGCCGCTCAGGCGCCCTCGACACGGAATCCCTCTGCCTCATCGCCGGCAAAAAAGTCTGGTCCGTCCGCGCCGACGTCCACGTCCTCTCCCACGACGGCAACCTCACCGACGCAGCCTGCCTCGCCGTCGTCGCCGCCCTGCGCCACTTCCGCAAGCCCGACACCTCCAACGAGGGCGAGGCCTTGACGATCTTCACACCCGCCGAGCGCGAGCCCGTGCCCCTGAGCTGGCTTCACAGCCCCTTTTGCGTGACGTTTAGCTTCTACGGCGACGAGGGGGAGATTACCCTCGTCGACGCCAACTGGCTCGAAGAGCAGCTACGGACGAGCAGCGTGACGGTCAGCTTGAACAAGCACGGCGAGATTAGCCAGATTTCCAAGCTCGGAGGTACGCCCGTCGAGGCGGTGACACTGCTGCACTGCGGCAACGTGGCGTTGCAAAAGGCCAAGGAGTTTTCGACGATAGTGGATGAGAGGTTGGCGGACGATGCGAAGCGGAGGGACAAGGGCGGTCTCATATCAGAGCTTTTGTCCGCAGAGAATGACAGAGTGGTGGACGCATAGAACAACGTCAAGCAGAGGAAGATGAACAAAAAATTGTAAAATGATACCCAGCCAAATACGCTCTCAAAAAACCCCATGCTCTGCAAGAAGAAGCGAGTGACCAACGTGGCTCCACCCGTTTCGTCCCTTGACTTTGAGCCTCCAACTCCAGCTACGCCAGTCTAAAAAAAAGAAGTTCCCGTATACTATCATGCCTCGTAAATGACGACAAGCCAGGCTCAACTACCGCATCACCGGCGGCCTAGACTCCTTATTCCACTTCACCCTCGACCGCACCCACTCCACCGCCTCCTTGACGCCCGTCCCCGTCAGCGCACTAACAGGCAACACCCTCGAGTCGCGAATACTGCTCGCCTTCTCGCCCTCAAAAACCTTCTTGACAAGCCCCTCCTTGATCCTCACGACCTCGACGCAATCCTCGCGGTCCTGCTTGTTGGCCAGCACTAGCACAGGCACGCCCTCGGTCTCGGAGTGCTGCAGCACGTCCTCGAGTACGAGGCGGCACTCGTCCAGGCGGCCGGAGCCGTTGTCGTGCTCGAGGTTGCCGTCGCCGATATCGGTCGAGTCAATTATAAAAACGATGGCGTGCGCCGAGGCGTAGTAGCTCTGCCACAGGCGGCGCAACGAGTGCTGGCCGCCCACGTCCCAGATCTTGAGGTACATGTCCGGCAGGGATATCGTCGAGACGTTTTGGCCCACCGTCGGCACGGTCTTGAGTTTCGGGTCCGGGTGCGACTCGAGGAAGAAGTGCTTGACTTGCTCGTGGAAGGTTGTCTTGCCGGCATTGTCGAGACCGAGGAGGATGACGGAGTACTCTGCAATGGGGGGGAAAGAAGATTAGCTGTGGGTTGTGGACGATGGGCTCTGTTTCACTGTGCGCGAACCTTCTTTGCTGGTGGCTAGGAGGTATAAGCCCTTGGCTAGGTGATACATGGCAGGCAAACGGCCGGCTGGCGAACGGCACTTGGTTTGCGACAACTTGGACGAGCAGAGGTTTGAAGGATCGTGTTGGCGCCGGGACAGGTGGAGGGTTTCGATGGCGGCGCAATTGGCGGGATGTGGATGGAGGAAGTGGACGTGCGAGCTGGAGCTCAAACTGGCGTTGGAGCTTGTGCTGCTGTAGCGCTGACACGCTGTCCGCTGCGTGGATGGTGGGGGCCATACAGGGGTTTCAGGGGACTTAGTGTCGGCGGCTCCTCAGCCCTACGTGCCCGAGCAGGCATGAATGGCTCCGGTTGCCTCTTGTCACTTTTTTGAGGCGTGGGATCCGTTGAGGACCTTGATGTCACCCGATACTTATTTAGACATCCTTCAAGTGAGACTTGGAGTCTTTCTGGTGAAAGCAACCCCCCTTCTCTTCCTTTTTTGCATCTACGTTTGTCACATTTATTGTGAAGCCATTTCCTCACTCAATTGTAGAGTACTAGCACTGCTGCGCTCACATTTAGGCATCTCGGCTTGAGATTCGGGAAAAACGCAAACATGCGGGCGAATCTATTCATTCACATCTATCATGACGTCTAAACACGTTCGCGAGCCTCAAACCCTGGGAAACCCTCCATCACCCTCTCTCACATCTTTGGCGCGGCAGTCGCATAACCCTCAGCAACAGCAGTCATCAAGCGGTTCGCAATAGCCGCCGGAGGAGGCAAACGAAGCCCTCCCTCCTTATACCCCTCCGGCGCAGGCTCACCAAGTCCGCTAACACCAAACTTGAGCGCGTCCCGCACCGTCTCGAGCGGGAACCACTGAGCGTCCTCCAGCTCAGGGTCGTTACCGAGATCAATCGTCTCGCCGTCGGGCAGCGCCTGCGCAATGGCGCCAATCATCAAGCTCGCCGGGTACGGCCACGGCTGGCTCGAGTGGATCACCACCCGGCCCACGCGCACGCCGGCCTCCTCAAAGACCTCGCGCCGGACAGACTCCTCAATGGACTCGCCCGGCTCGATGAAGCCCGCGAGCGTGCTGTACCAGTTGGGCGGGTACCGCTTGTTCCGGCCCAGGAGTACCTTTGTGCCGTCCGAGGAGATGACGGCGGCGATCATGGTCGGGTCCGTACGCGGGAAGCTGATGTTGGAGACGCCCTTGCGGGTGGCGCACTCGGCTCGCTCGCGGGGCGTGTCTGAGCCGGCGAGGTCGGTGGTCGGGCAGAGGCGCTTGTAGCCCGTGTTGCCCGACAGGGACGGCTGTCCGCACCCGGCGCAGAACTTGTTGCGCGTGTTCCAGTCTGCGATGGAACGGGCCTGGGCGTAGATACCAGCTGACATTTTTTTTATTAGTGTCTGACATACAAACAGGTTGTTCATGTGCGAGTGAGTAAGTCCTTACCATGATCCGGCTCGAGCGTCATCGGCCTCATTCCCTCGAGGAACTTGTACCCCTTGCTCGACTGAGCCTCGATAAGCTGGTTAGCGGCATCGGCGTACGACCCCTTGGGCGTCACATCAACGGCGAACCACGGCCGTCCCTTGAGCCCCTTGTACTCAAACGGCACTTTTGCGCTCTCCTCGAGCCCCAAAAAGATGATCAGCGGCTTCGTGGCCGTCGAGTCAAAGTTCTTAATCAGGTCCTCCTCAGACGGCCCGAACGGGTCCTCGGTGGTAAGGGGCTTGACGTCGTCATACGAGACGAACTGCACTCTTGTCGGGGCGCTGGTGAGGGGGCTGAGGTCCTTGAGGAGCATGAACTTGGTGTCCTTTGACTGGAAGGCGGCGCGGATAAAGGTGTGGTCAGTACGGAGCCAGCCGACGCGGTTGAGGACGCTGCCGGCGAAGTAGTTGACGGTCTCCCGCCCAAACTTGCGGGACAGCATGGAGTCCGGGTCGTCGACTGGTGCGGGAAGGTTCCAAGCTTGAGAACCCATGCCGAGGTTTTGTAGCGGTTTTTGGCGGTGCGGGCGGTGATTTGGGTTTACCTGGGGGTCGCCGATGTAGGATATGTATGACGTAGATATACCCCGTACCAAAGTCAAAAAGAAGTGAGTATATCCGTCAGTCTCTACAATAGGTCGATGTTACGCAAACAAAAAAGACATGCGGCGTCTAGAAGTGTGAGATATCTTGAAGACGTGCGGCAGGGACGGCAGCGGCAACGGACTGGTCCGGCTGATTAATCAGATTGACGAGGGACGGCAAAGAAAGATGGGGGAACAAGAGACGCAATGCGATGGATCTTTGGAGCTTGTCACGGTGAATCACGACTCGCCGCTGAGCTCCGATAAATGGAGCCCCCTCCGGCAGATCCCTCCCCCACATCAGAGAGACTGTGCGGGAGTCGGAGACGAAGAGACAACCGAATCGACTGGTCATTGTCAGTTTGTCCGGAGTTGTCACGGTATCTAGGGCTACTGTACAGCCCGTGCGTGGCAGCTGTCCCCTAGACCTTTGTATTGGAATATCTCTATTATCATTGGGTATGGATGGTATGGAGGAGGAGCTGTAACGGGGGCTTGTTGGGCAGCTGTCAATGCGACATCTCAGATGGGAGTGAGATGAGAATGGACTTAAGCTTATCCAATCGCCTTGGCTCCCCGAACTCGCCCACACAACGCGTCAGATCTTGCCGAGGTGTAACGGGCACATTGTTTAGTCATCATTGAGATGTTACCTTACCTAATCAGAGTGTGGATACAACTGATAGGTCACCATGCTCCCATCTGTCTCGTTGCTGACCAATTTGGCTTCCAAACTCGCACGTAGAACTGCTCAGAATGGTGTCTTGTTGCGGTCGCTACCTTATGCTATCTCATCATTGCATATCAACTCTCATCAACTCAAATGTCACGGATCAAATTTGACTTATGCATTGCTCTCATTTTCACGAACCCAGTCCCCAACCGTCGTGACATTCTCCACAATCAGCGGCCAGATGAGGTTCGTCGCGGCATCTTTCCCAGCGGTGGTGAAGCCGGCAGTCGCATCGGTGCTGTGTAAGTCAGCATAAAGGCCACCAAAACTACTGAGGTAGGTAATGTAAGGGGCCAGAAAACTCACAGAAGGGTGACGTGGAAGCCACTGTACGTTGAAGACGCACAGATCGTCAGTTTACATCCTCTTCTCAAGTGCTTCTTGTGTCCAACTATCAACTTACAGCTCTCTGGCATCCCGCGCCGTGGACTCGAGACAGGTGTTGGCAACCATGCCCGCCATAACAAGGTGCGTAACCCCCCTCTGCCGCAACTGATAATTCAAATCCGTGTTTGCGAATCCACTGTTACTCCATATCAATAACCACATTCACATTCATATTTACTCTCTCTCTCTCTCTCTCTCTCTCTCTCTCTCTCTCTCTCTCTCTCTCTCTCCCTCCCTCTCTCTCACAGTCAACCCCCCTCTCCCACGCACGCAACGAACTCACCTATTATTCCAATGCCTACTAGCAATCACATCCCCGTTGCCCACCACATCCGGCTCAAGACCCTCGAGTATCTCGGCGCCCCAGCTCCCTTCTTCGAAGCCCCGCGCGGCGCCGAGACCCTTGTGCGACGACGTGAGGTGGCTCCAGCCAGCGTAGTTGCCCTCCTTCCACGTCTTGTGCAGGGCGTAAAAGATGGGCAGCTTCTGCTTGCGCGCCGCAGCGACCAGGGTCCGCAGGTTGGCGTTTGTGCCCGTGGCCTCGAGGGATTCCTTGACGGACGGGTAGATCTTGCCCTCGTGGTGGAGGAAGTCGTTGTAGGGGTCGACGAGGACGATTGCTGTGTTGGGAGGGGCCATGGTGTGGGTGTTTGTTTGAGAGTATTGGGAACTTGACCTGGACTACCAAAAAGATGGGATAGTATCTGTCAACTTCAGTCAGAGGATATCGAGTAGACTCGTTATATACCCAAGGTAAGGAAGCAAGACAGCGATAACCAGCATCCAAGTGAGCCGACCGACGGATGACAAATTTCGGACCTGGAATGAGTGCGGGGTTCTGGCACAATGATACGGTTCCTCACAGTAACAAGCGTCCATCGATTAGAAGAACGTCCCGGACAGACCCAGTCAGCTACCACTCTGCAGTGCAGTACTTGAAACTTGTGTAAATGAGCTTTGTTCCGCCCTTTATCCTGACGATGGATCTACGTATACGGTGATGGCCAAGAATCGTTTCACACAGGGCATCACGCAACCGCGGGGTAAACTTGGATGACCAATTTCAGGAATAGGGCGGGCTCGGTTAGCGCAACCGTCCGTTCCAATGGACTCGGTCGGATAGGAAAGTATTGTGCTATCATGATTCGGGGGTGTAAGAAGGGCCATGGCGTAGACGTAGGAGAGTGCTTCCCCCCCCCCCCCACTCCCCTTTTGCCGTTTGGCTTCTTGAAATTGGTCAGCAAGTGGTGTGTTATCAGGACTTCGGCGTCAGCGGCTTCGGCCGGAAATCCTTGACAGTGTGCAAGGCATCTTTCAAAGTCCCGGCGATATCATTGGAGGTCTCATGTCTCTCCAGGGTTCAAGTTTCCACGCAGGATCAAGGGCGCGCTTGACATGAGGGTCAAGATTAGCCCCAACCCCCAGTCCACAACTCGGGATCAGGAGCACACTGACATGGCAGCAACGGTATGCACAAGCACGAGTTATGAGGCATTCCCCCATGCCTACCTCTTCTTGTCTCTAAATTTCCCACCTTGATATCTGTACAAAGGTCTTGATTACAAATTACGTAAGATGAAGCATGCCAACCACATGATCTGCAATACATGAACTCCCAGCCTTCCTGCTATGACATCAACGCCGAAAGTTTCCGCTTCCACTCCTCCAGCGCCCGATTACTCTCCGCCAGCTTCTCGCGGCTCGTCTCCAGCTCGGCGCGCAACATCCGGTTCTCCGCCCTCAGCTCGACCGCCTCAGCAATGGCCGTCTCCCCCAGCGAGGCCCGCTCTCGCAGCTGCTCCATCTCCGTCGCCGAGACGCGGCTCACGTCGGCCGCACGCCTGGCCACCGCGAGCTCGCTGTTGCGCAGGTGGAGCTCCCTCTGCATCTGCGCGACCTGGCCCTCGACGTCGCCGACTTTGTGCCTGAGCTCGTGGGCCGTCTCGAGCTCGGCGTACAGGAGCCGCAGCGCGGCGTCGACGTCTGTCGGCAGGGTCGTGTAGCGAGACTTCCGCGCGGCTGGTGCCCGTCCTACTGTAGAAGAGCCGCTACGGGGCTCGTCCCGTGAGGGTGCCGCCGCCGCCGGCGGCGGTAATGGGGTGTTTTCGGTACGAGTGTTGCTAGATGAAGGGCCTGCGGTTATCACCTCCCTCGCAGCCGAGTGGGATGCCTTGGTCGTACGAGTCTTCCTGGCCGCCGTACTGGGCGTGGCTCTCGACGCCTCGGTCCCACTTGCCTCTTGGTCCTGGCGAAGTTGGTATGAATCAGGTACATCTTGCCGAGCATTTCCCTTAGTCAAGGGTGTACCTCCCATTGCGTCTACTGTTTCCGCATGGGTAGATGACGATGATGAAGCAGCCAAAGGCCGCATCTCCGGCATCAAAAACGGAGGACCTTTGTGCCAGTTGCGGTGGACGCAGACTTCGCAAAAGAAGCAATTGTTGCCCTTAACAACAGAATGAGTGCTCTCCTGGGGCCTGCAGGACTCGTGGTACGACCTCTTGCAAGTGACGCAGTAGGTGAGACCCTTGGTCTGCCGGCAAATGAAGCAAAATTCATCGTGTTGCGCTCCGGCTTCTTTCCCCCCATATAATTGTCAGTAAGTAGGCTACAATAGCGAGGTTCTTGTGAGTTTCAACTACCTACCTTTCCAAGCTTTGTATCTCTCCAGAGCAGCGGGTATGGAAAGCGATCGTGGGTCAAACGAGCTGTCAGGCGCTTGTGCTTGCTGTTCTGTTGCTTTATTATCGGGTCCATCCGACTCTTCTCTGGTAGTGTTGCCGTTCAGGGAGCCCCCGCCACGTGCAACACGAGACCTCCCGCGACGAGTTGGCTGTGCTGAACGTAGACGCTTCCTCGGTGGCTCCCTGCTTCCGTCAATATCCATGGTGATTCTACTGGTGTATACAAATTCAGCGAAAGAGACGGCGAAATAAGATTTATTCAGCGAGGGTAGACGTGTGTCGCTGCTGGGAGGGATGAGAGCGTCTTTCGATATAGTGGGAAAATGTGGAAGATGAGCGTGGCTGGGCAGTTAGCAATTTGGCTGTGAGATGAACGACAGCGCTGACTAATGACACAAACGCTGCTACCTCCCTCGCAGCCTCTTGTCCAAGGTACGTCCAGCAGATACAACCCAAAGACCGAATGGATGATAACAAACCCAAGATGGACTCTGTTATCTGACTGAACTTCTTTTGCAGTCAGCAAGCCAATTCGATTGACACAGTGTTGGAACAGGGCGGAGGGGTGCTTTTAGAACAAAAGTGCTTTGGTCGAGGAATCGCGCTATCTGAGAATCAAATTTGTCATCGAAATGCGAGGTAGATTGCTCAAAGGGGAAAGGAATCCCGCAGTTGGCTTGGGTGGTTCCCTGCTGACCAATTTGAACCACAAGAGCGGGTGTTAGTTGCCGGCGAAATATCCTCGGTTCTTTAGGAGAAGCCCATTTTGCTCCCCTCGAGAGAACTTTTCTCTCGTCGGATTCTCCCCAAGAACTTGTCGAAAGTAATTAGTGTTCGTTTGCTTCGAGTACGCCTTAAGACAGCAGCCTTAGCGAAGAGCAATGTCTAACACAAGGACCAGTGGACCGGCGGGGTCAAACAACAACGAGAAGACGCTTGAAGGGGGTGACCTCGAGAATAATGGCGTCAAGAGTGAGTTACAGTTGGAATCGACCGAATCCGACAGCCGGAGGAATTCTGCCACGTACAACACTTATCGTCAGGACGCCGTGACCGGCTTGCCGAATCAGTCGGCTAGTCGAGTCGATCGTGTTGTGAGTCGTATTGCAAGCAGAGTAACTTCGCGTTCTACCATTGCACCTGGGCCACCACCCGATGGCGGCTTGAGGGCTTGGTTATGTGGTAAGTGTCTCAAGACCAAAAGTCTGCACCGAGAAAGCTCCATGTACTCACCTCTCGTTCTCAACAGTCTTTGGCACCTTCCTCGTCGTTATGAATACATGGTAGGGTCCTCGAAACAAAACTCTCTCAACCAACAACTAAGAAGCCGATGTTAGGGGCATGATCAACTCATTTGGCGCTTTCCAGAGCTACTACATTACACAACTCAACCGCAGCCCCTCGGACATATCCTGGATCGGATCCATAGATATATTTTTCCTCTTCTTCATCGGCACCTTCACCGGCCGCCTCACAGATGCGGGCTACTTCCGGTCCGTAGCGACAGTCGGCTCCGTCCTCGTCGTCGCCGGAACCCTGTCGGCGTCAGCATGTACACAATATTGGCAGCTTCTGCTAGCTCAGGGGGTCTGCGTCGGCCTGGGAAACGGATGCCTGTTCTGTCCCGCTGTTGCCCTCGTCTCGACGTACTTTGCCAAGCGACGCTCCTTTGCCATTGGAATCACGGCGTGCGGGAGCGGTGCGGGAGGCGTGATCTTTCCTATCGTTATTCGGGAGATGCTGCCGCGGGCCGGATTCGGCTGGACGATGAGGACGCTCGGGTTCATCCAGGCCGCCGCGCTTGTCACCGCCCTCTTTTGCCTCAAGCCGCGGGTGCCGCCTCGTAAGACGGGGAGCTTTGTGGAGTTGGCGGCCTTCAAGGACTTGGACTATTCGTTCTATGCCGCAGGGGCATCTTTGGTACGCGGATCTCCCATAACCTTTTCTCTCTTCTTGGCTTCGTAACCGAAGTAGCACATCTCCCCTGCACCCTGAGTGTGTACTTACCTCTTCTGAATTGCAGTTCTTCTGGGCGTCGTACATTGTCTTCTTCTTCCTCGCTGCATACGCACGCGACCTCCAGGGCGTCTCCTACGATCAATCCCTCGACCTCCTCATGATCACAAACGGCGTCGGCATCGTCGGCCGCCTGCTCCTGAACCACCTCGCAGACCACGTCGGTAATCTGACAATGTTCGTCCCCACTATCGGCGCCGCTGCGCTCCTGGCGTACTGCTGGGCGCCCATCGCCTCACGGGCGGGTCTTTATGTCTGGGCTGCGCTGTGCGGCATCGCCCTCGGCGGCATCCAGGCGCTCTTTCCCTCTGCGCTGGCGTCGCTGACGGCGGATCCGCAGGAGCAGGGGGCGCGCATCGGTATGGTGTTCACGATTGTGAGCGTAAGCGTGTTGACGGGGCCGCCGATTGGCGGGGCGCTGATTTCTGCGATGGGGGGCCGGTATCTGGGTGCGCAGATGTTTGCGGGGAGTAGTTTGACCCTGGGGATGGTGTTTATATTCTTAGCAAGGGAGGCGAAGCGGAAGAGGATGGGAGAGTCGTTTTGGGCAAAGGTCTAGTACGATATTGTCCATCTATTCTCCATCTAGAGCTAGAGCTCGAACTATCAAGCTTCTTGGATATGTGTCTCGTCTCTTCTTTCGCTAGTGTCAGTGTCAGAAGCAATGGAGACTTGGTGCGATGCCAATATCATGCCTTTAGGCATTGCCCTGTCTGAGATCAACTAAAGAGACACATCGAAGACGGCCGGCGATGAACAATGATGGTTGGGAGTGGGCGTCAATGCTCCCAAAGACGGTATGCTGGCGGCCTGTTGAAATTCAAGTACGGGACCTCTGACCATAGTATTGAAGCTGCTAGGATGGCAAGTCTCAATGATGTGATGTGTTCTACTGGCACCACAGCTGAGAGCCAGTATCGTAGAAACGAATATTAAACTTGAATGATTAGCAAGAGGGAAAGAAAAAAACCACATGGCCGGAGTCGTTTGGGAGCTGAAAAAGAGTATGAGGTTGCTCCCACCGTGGTTCAACGCCGACCAGAGCGGGTTACTGTCGAATCTCGTCTCTTCGTTTCGATGTTACTTGAAGACAACCTGCAGACCAAATATTGTTACTTCCAGGTGAAGGCGATTGCGTGTAACAGAGCAGATGAAGGTTTGCAGTCGTATCAGCAGCAGCAGGAGCCGAGGCGGAAGGATATCCACGCATACTCGTAGGTAGGCAGACCCGGGAGACTGAAGTCATCTAAGGCAGGTACAGGTCCAACTTGCGAGACACCACTACGGATAGAGGACGCCAGTAACATTGGGGCGCAAGCTGCAGCTGTTCTTCCCTTGCTGGGCGGGAAGGAAGTACAGACGCACAGGGGAGGAACATCAGAGCCGTCGCGCCCTTTCAGCATAGACAACAAGGAGCCATCTTTGCGATTTAAACATCAAGTTTTGATGTTTGCATCAAGTGTAACCTCAGCTGATTCCCAACTTCTCATGATAGTCAAGACGACTGCTCAAAGCCAGGTGCCCAGCAACGGGTTTTTAAGATAATTGTTCTATGCCAGGAGCGAAAACACCAACGTCGAGTGATATGCGACAGTTGATGCCGATCTACGTAAAACGTAGGTCTGGCAAATACATCACGTAGCGAAGAAAAGAAGCCAGATCAAACTGGACATTGCATTGCTGCATCAGGATCAACGTCGCCAGTAGCCCCATCGGTCATGTGTTGAAAGAAAGTCGTTGTGAAGCAAGGCGAGCATTGAGCCTCATGACTTTTGAGGCTCATGGCAAGGCCAGGATCTGACCAAGCGCGTCTCATCATAGGCAACGCCAGCTACTGCGATGAACTGCAACGTCTGCCGGTGCCGGCCTTTGACGTGCGAGTGACAACGCAGAAGTTGTGGTGGCCTGGACCAAAAGACTTGGGGAGAGGTTGAGATAATAGTTTGTTGTAGTTGAAGGAAGAGGAAGGAAAATTTTCGTTGGGAAGAAATAGACGGCGGGTGGTGCGGAAGGGAAGGAGCGTGCGTGGGAGGCAATCAGGAAGGCGGTGCAGCTGCCGCCTGTGGGGCACTCTGGACCTGAGGCACACACACATCTGCGAGTGGTATTGGAGCCGCGGGCCTGCGATTGCGAATGACCTCTTCAGGTGGTCAAAAGTGTTGCTGGTGGATGACAACGCCACAACGAGTGGCCGCTGTGTAAATCAATACGCAGCAAATAACCGAGTGACTCGATTGAATGGATCATCGCGTACTCCAAGGCCTCTATCGAATCGGCAGCTCCGTATCTGCGCCGTCCCATGAGCTGATCTCTTCGTCCCAATGCCTTGAGATTCACACAACGGAGAACAATACTGTCGACCTCGAGAGACCGCCGGTATTCAACAATGCCTTCGCAGCTCTATGGGAACAAAGTTTTATCGCCCTTTCTTTCTCGACGTCGCTTTCGCAATATAGCAATCTGTATTCTGACGGCTAGCCTAACTGAAGGCTATCGTTCACTGGAAGTCGATAGCACGAATTGGACATCAAGTTCGACACTTTGTTCCCGCGGATCAAGTGTTCCAAGTTCCAATTCGGTGTCAACCCCTGCATCTGTTATAGATTTGATGAATAAATGAACGTGGATACCACTATCGAACTCAGTGATTTGAAGGTACCTATCGCGGATCACACATGTAAAGGTAGTGCAGTATAGTCAACGATGTCTCACAGCAACATCCATATCTGTAACCCACTCGAGACCACCTCATGTTAGAGAGGGTTATCAGAAGGGATGCAGTTTCTAGAGATACCTTAGGTATGTATAATCGAGACGACGTCGCTCGTGAGCAAGCGGGATACCAAGCCGGGCACGGCACGGCCAATGGCGACATAGCGAAGTGGGGCAAGGTCGTCGTCAATGCCAATCGGCAACTCCTCGGAAACGCAATCAACTACACCTCGGCCGAGTTCATTCGTATCAAACTGCCCTCATCGAGTGGAAGAGTTCTAGATCATTAGCTTTGCCTTGGAGTACATTAATTCAATAAGACCGAACCTTCGACCGTGTCTACCAGAGGTGGAAGTAGACACAATGGACTCAGAGGGGAACAACTCTAGCGATAGGTATACCCCCCTTTCACGTTCACAATCCAGTGACGGCTTCATGGCAGGACTGAAACTCAACCACCACGTTTGTAGCGCTGTAAATATCATCTTCATCGGAGCTGGCGCCGTCGGGTGCTTCTATGCTTCGCGACTGCACCATGTAAATATCCGAACCCCCTCATATCACCTTGCTTAGCCAGGCTAACTCACACGTCCCAGCCCGACCGCAACATCCACGTCTCACTCGTCGCCAGATCTAATTACAAGGCTCTGAAAGAGTCGGGCGTAAAACTTCAAACCCACACTTTCGGCGACTACGTCTTCCATCCCCACGCCGCCTTCCCATCCGTCGATGCCGCCGCATCCTCCCAGACGCAGTGGGACTACGTCTTCGTGACGACAAAGGCCCTCCCAGACCGCTCAGATGACTCCGCCATGATCGCGCCCCTCGTAGGGAAGAACACGAGCATCGTCCTCATCCAAAACGGCGTCGGCGTCGAGGAGCCGTTCCGTAAACGGTTCCCCAACAACGCCATCGTGAGCGCCGTCACGATCGTCAGCGCCGAGCAGACCTCGCCGGGGGTGATTCGCCAGAACCGCTGGACGAGGATCAGTATCGGCCCGCACACAAACGGCCTCGGCACAGGCGACGCCGAGCTAGGCCGGCGCGGCACCAGGGCGGTCGAGCAGCTCGGCACGTTGTGGGGGCCCGGCTGGGGCGGTATTCGCGACGTGGAGCCGCACGACGAGATTGGGCTGCAGACGGTGCGGTGGCACAAGCTCTGTATTAATGCCGCGTTTAACCCGAGTGCCGTGCTGAGCGGCGGGCGGGGCAACGCGGATATGGTTACGGATCCGGAGCTGCGGGAGCACGTGGTGGGTATCATGAACGAGATCAGGGCGGCGGTGCCGAAGATTCTGGGACGTGAGTTTCCTGACGACCTTGCGGGGCCGGATCGTATTGTCAAGAGCACGGCGCGGAATACGGGAGCGAGGCCTAGTATGTTGTTGGACTGGGAGGCTGGACGCCCGTTGGAGTTGGAGGTGATTCTGGGGAACCCGGTGAGGATTGCTAGGGATCATGGCGTGGAGATGCCGCGTTTGCAGACGTTGTATGCTTTGTTGAGCAGTGCGCAGAGGACTCGGGAGGAGAGGGCGACCAAGGGGAAGTTGTAGGATACGAATGTGTCGAGTGGGTAAATAGTCCATATGGCGTCCTAGATAGACTAGAGTCAACTTCGCAACTTGACTTCATATTTGCCGTCCAAATCTCCGAGTCACGTATATTCGATTCGCCGTCCTGCGACATGATGTTCACAGGTGCCAGGGGTTAAGGGCACGACATGACGGACGTGTAAGAATTGTCTGATCGCCCATGCTGGATGTACATTACCACTCATCTCACCTTGGGGCGGTTTCCTCTTGAGATTCGCTTTTCCAGGCGAAAATGGAAAGCTCACAGAGGCACGTGTGGTTCCATCTTTGTATACAAAGTGATGTATGCCAATCTCTGTGAATCAGCGCTGTTTTTTACCTTACCTAACTGTTCAGGTATGAGGCAGACGAACATCTCAAAGTATACAATGCTAGTTTATCAAAACCATTAAACCTTCAAACGCTTCTGTCCGTTATTATGCCATGGTGGCTCCATACTTTGGAAGACCGGCCTGAGAGCCATATCGACTTAAGTAGTACCTATTCGTTGCTCATAAGCCAAGACCTTGGTCCTCATGCCCGATGTTTATCAAATCTATGCATAGCTGGTTGGCAGGGAAGATGTCCCCCGTCCCTGCTGCTATTCACGCGAAAGCGCTCTCAACGTAAGATTGAACCCGGCAAGATACTATGGTTATCGCATATGCCTGGCATTCATGAATCGGCTTAAACCATGCATATTGGGTGGATGTTCAACATCACAAGATTATGCTTAAACCGATGAGTACTCCGAACCTCGTCAGGGGTCCAGACCGATCCAGCGATGGCCCGTCAGCCCCAACGGCACCCGCATCTCGCCTGGAGGTGGCACATCGTAGGATCCTGGACGGCGGATCACGGACAGCGGGATGGCTCATGTCTAAGGTAAAAGGTAGGGGCCGAGGACCGAGAGCGGCCAGAAAGCACGTGAGTGAAACAAGACGGGGGCGTCTTTTGAACAAAGGACGCAGCGTGCCGTGCGATCCGTGTCTCCCGCTCAGGAGGTCTCAGCCTGAACACGGGCCCGGGCATGTGCCTCGTTTCTTGTTTACTTGTAGTGTAGTCGGCCGAGGAGAGACGAGTTCCCGGTGTGCGACGGGGTAGTCACGGAGTCAACGCATCACCTTCAACCGGGAGGCGTAGCGATCAACGGCCTCAACTGTATGGGCTTGGGCAAACTCAGGATGCTAGGAGGCGTTAGGCGGTAGGTGAAGCATTCCATGTTGTCAAGATATGTGGCGGTGGCGTCGGTTCAAGAAGAAGGGTCCAGGGTCACAGCTGCAGCGAACAACGTCGATACTAGCTATCCGGCAAGAGGCTTAAGGTTAGATGATGCACCCAAAGTCTCGGAGCGCCGGAAATTCCCGTCGGTAAAGTAACAGTAGCAAATCCGGTGCGGTTGGGAAAAGAGTGTCTTTCTCTTCCCGGGTCTTCACCAAGCAGCTGTCATACTCGGGTGGCAGTGGCTGGTCTAGGCGGAAGCTGCACTGAGGGTGGTTCGGATCTAAGGGTGGGGTTGGTGAACAGGCTCTGATTGGAGTGAGAGATCTGAAAGTAAATGTGCACGGACTAGGTGCTATGACGTATGACTTGGACAGGGCTGAGATGGCCCCTGGTCGCACCTGCCTCGCTACCGTCGACCGAAGACACCTAGGTACGTATGTGCTTACCTAACGAGTTTTGCTGCCGTAGGCTGGCAGGGAAGAAATGCAGCAGGAAGAAATTGCAGACCGGTTGCCTTAGCCCGAAAATCGGCTACGGGGTGGGTGAGAACTGTCATCGGGGTTTGCCGGCAGATGAGAAAAAAAAACCCAAGATAGCGGGTGCATACCGCTTGCTGCTCGCCTAGGCGCCGCACTTGAGATGCAGTCCGGTTTCGAGACTCAGGTCGATAAATGGCCCGATGGGCATAACTTAATAGGGAATGTATGGAATGTGGATGGTGTGTGTTGGGCAGTAAGGTTGTCTTGGTTGTGTCTGCAAGGGGGGGAGTTGAAGTGCATCAAAGGAAAGTCTGGGCCAGAACCCGGCCCCGTCATGCTCAATTCGGGGAAGCAACTTGGATGAGGCCTGTTTCCCCTCAGCTTAGACATGAGCAGCCAAGCACAACAAGGAAGGCAGACAATGGTAGCAGGAACAGAAAGACACGGCCTTCAGCTGTCCTTTAGCTGAATGGCTTTCTTCTTTTCACAGATAGACGTGTCTCTCTCGGAGTTGCATTACTCTGTACTCTCGATCGGAATGAAAGTACCTAGTAGGTGCTTGTGTGCTTGCCTACTGTGCAAGGTGAGGAGTACGTAGCAGGCAGGATTGGCAGGCAGGATTGACAAACGCGACAAGAAGCAGGCACGGCAGGTTGTCCAGGCGGGCACGTGCAGCTGGGGATCCATCAGAGTCGACGCGAGTGGAGAGTCAACTCTTTCCAAGCAAGGATCGACACTGACACAACCTTTTGAAGGATAGGCATTTCTCAGAATCCCATCCGTGTCAACACCACGAACTTTGTCTACCCCACCTGCCCGCCACCCACCACGTCTACTTGCTTCCATGCCACCGTGCTTCTGGTCGCCACCTCTCCTCGAGTCTGATGGATTGAATCCAATCAGGCGAGCTACCTCAAGACTGGGAGTATGCATAGTCGGGGGGGCATCCCAGTCGTCACCCAATCTGCCAAACCTCTCCAGTCACCGTCATGGATTGTCTCCAACTCTCCCGTGGCGAAAGGCAACATCCATCTGCCTTCTCGATTCCCGCCTTTTCAACGCGCTGGAAACCCCGATCCCCTTCCCCTCCACCCCACCCACTTCGTGCCACTCTTACCCTAAGTTGCTTAGCTGCTTAGGTAAACCAGGACTTTGCGCATGTGAGAAAAACCATCAGATCGGATAGAACATCCCCATTGGTACCAGCTCCGGGTACTGCCAAGTTACTTTTTGGCCCATTACTGCTGGGATTTCTAAGCTGCCCTTCCACTGTGTGGTTAGCAGCTCCGACTTCCAAGTCTTGCAACGGTTTTTATCACTCTTCCCTTTCGGAGACAAACTACAAATAGGAAATATCTTCTAAACCAAGTGTGTTTACGGTACTCCAATGGCGTCGCATACCTTACACACCATACCTGTGTCCAAGTCTCACATCAACAAAGGCGAAGCGGACAAAATGTCAGAATTTTTAATAAGACAAAAGCCCTGCAACGAAGAGAATCATCGTCGATGCGAGACTAGCTGTGGCCGAGGCCCTGTGTGCCGACAGACACGGTCATCTCCCTGTACTTAGAGAACGGACACCGGCCAGGGCCACCCCGGTCGCCGCGATGCGCCGTTTCGCCGTGTGTTGAGGGTCATACAAGAGAGATGGTCGCCAAAAGACGGGCTGTTCGCTGTGTGGACGTTGACCTTTGAAGCTTGGGTCCTTGGGGCCTCGTGTTCGTTGCAACCGGATGAAATGCTCCTAACCATGGTAACCAGCTATTGTACATGGAGGCACCTAGGATGCTTAGGTAAGTAAGCCAATGCAAGTACCGCAAGCGGACGAAGCACCTAGACCTTGGATTATGGCATTGCAATTGTTCCTTCTAGCCCTCGGTGTCTCCTGGGCCACTGGGGGGCCTCTCTCTAGGTATCCGTAGTTTGACAGTTAAGACTGATGAGTGGGCTTGGCCCGCGATTCCGACATGTCCCACGAGGAGCCACTTGACTGATGATCGGCACACTAAACAGGGCTAGGTGGCCCATCCTGGATCCATGATTCCATGGTCTCTCGCATCCATCCCGCGCTTTGTACCCCTCACAGGCTCATCGAGCTGCTGCTTTTTGTTGTTGCTTGTAGGTATTTCTGCCGCTGCCGCTGTAGGTATCGTACAGTCTACGGATACAGAGTGCGGCGTACGATTCAGGCGGCATTACCCATTCGGATACTGTACCTGTGCGAAGCACTGATGACCTTCATACTGACCGCTCCGTGACTGGATTGTGGATCGTGGTTTCGACTGGACTGGACCGGAAAACTGACTGGGGTTTGACTGGGAGGACTGGATCGGATTGGGTTGACTGGACCGGGCCACGCCGCATCTCATTCCTGTTTTTGTTGTCAACTTGTCTTCCCCTTCAGTGCTCCCCATCTGCGCTTTTCGTGCGTGCCTGAGCAACTGCCAACTGCGCTTCGCTGTCTGTGTTGTCTGCGTCATTACTGTTTTGTTGTACGGGTAGCGCTCTTGCTTCGAGGCTTGCCCTGTTCATCGAGATTCCCTTACGTCTGCACTGGCTCTGCCTTCTTCTACCTTACCGTCTGCCTTTCCGATCTGCGCCTACTGGTCAATGTATCGATCGTTAATGATGTTGGCAGGCACATGGGATGGATTCTTCTCTCTTGCCTTGCCTCTGCTCTTAGGTACCTATTGTACAGTAAAAAAAAAAGAAGGTGTATGTGGGTGTAAACACGCCTGTGAAGCAAATACTTGTTCCATCACCCTTGATGTACCTTACCATCAGCTAAAGTAGCTGTCTTCCCGTCCGTACGGATATCGGTCCCTCTCCAGACACCAACCCTGCCCATTTGCCGCTCTTCTTTTCGCCTTCCCCTTCCCTGTATGGTGATAATTCTTCATTTGCCACTCTCGCTCTGGGGCTTGTATGATTCCCGTCACTGACTGCTGCCCGTCTACCACTCTTTTCGTACCTGCCTGTCACCCGTGTTCACACACTGCATGCTCCATCAGCCACTAATACTTACTAGCCTCGTCTCTTGCTGGTCTTTGCCTCGTCTGCCAACTCGACTGTACTTTCCACAGTATACCTTACCTCACCATAACACTTTACACTGATTGCATCGCGTCGCCTCCTCTACCGCAAATTCAGCACTGGTCGAAGTACCATCTCTCGTACCTGCCATCTACACCTCATGACGCCCTAACGTATGGATAAGGGTCTTTGCATTACACACTGGAAATAGCGCATCAGAGTAGTGCTTCCTGCAATTGTGCTGCTTTGGCCACCATCCCGTTCTCAGCCACGAGTTTATGGCTTGCTCTGCCAGTCACTTACCTACCTACACACACACACACATCCCTCACCTTGCATTTCCTTCATCGATCGATCCGTCTGGTACACACACACCACACCACCTCGGACGCAGACCTGAGAATTGAGGAATTCCGAGGCTGAAGTGCACATCTCTAGACTACCTTCTCTTCACTTGTCGTTTCTCTTCCACACAAACGACACGGCACCGAGCGTGCGAAGCTCATTCTTGGACCCCCAACGTCCTTTCGACGTCTACGGATACCTCAGCTACCTCACTCTTGCACGGTCTGGCCAAGGTAGCTCTGCCCACTTCATCTTGCCACGAGCTCGCCCTGCGCCCTCAGCTTTCGATTTTCCCATTTCCCAACCGCGGCCCACTGCCACCAAATCTTGACCCGTCCGCGCACAATTGCATCCCACCCCGACATCCCCATCCCGCGCGCCCCTCTTCGACGACCGAATGATCGAGTAGGCAAATCCTACGCACCGCACTGCAATCAGGGGGGGAGAGCACGCATACAAGGGAAATTCTAGATCACGGCGAGCCTCTGCGCTCTTCTCGAACCCTAGGAGTTGTGTTCTAATTCTTCCTCACCAACGTTTGCGCACCACATTTGCGCTATTCGCCTTTCCCTCCCCCTCATCCGCCTCCTCCTCATTTGAGGTTCTCACGCCCTCCTGCATTCTCGCACGTTCGCAGCTGGTTCGCCCCATTAATTCTGCGCGCCTTCGCTCCATGCCAAGAATCACTTATTACGGACCTTTGAGCCTCTTCCGGCGAGGCCTCGTTCACATAACTGCGTCGGAGTTGATAGACTTTTAGGTCTCTTGCCAGATTCAACCGAGGACATGGACGCCCCGTCCGACGCACGGCGGCCATCCGTTTCCTTCGCCAACCGCTCCACGACAGATTCCTCATCGGAGGCGACTCCCATCCCCAGCGTCCGTTCCGACTCTGTGACGCTGCATATGCCAGACCCGTCTGCAGCTCCTACTGCCGTCTCCATCAACGCCCCCTTGAGCTGTTCCTCTTCATGGAGTGCCAGTTCCGATCGCCAACTTGGTCACAATGCAAGTCCCGATCCTTCAGATCGCGTTTACCCGATCCGCTCCGTCGTGCGCGTAGACCGCACCAGCAGGACCTCTGGCGAGCATGGTTACTTCCCCAGAGTCCCCGACCATGGCCAATACCAAGCCCCCCGTCCAAGCAATCCTCGAATCGATACCGCCGCCTTCGAAGCCATGTCTCGTCGCGATTCTGCATCCACGCCGTTGTCCAACGTAACCTCGCCTGGCGATCGTCAAGGAATACAGGCGAGGAGGAAACATGCTGGTTCTGGCCCCATGTCTAGCGTACAAGCCGACGCTGCACGTCACAACACTTCGCAGCCACTTGATATATTTCAGGATGTTGCGTCGGATGCGGAAGAGGATTCAGCACCTGGCGACGACCATTCGCAACAGCAGGCATCATCTACCAGTGTTCTCGGAGACATAGCTAGCGAGAGCCTTTTTCCAACAACACGCTTCAAATACGTCATGACGGATGAAGGGCATCATGTCATCACAGGCACCGACGGTGTCCTACAATGTTGCGAGGATGAGCCTATCCATACCCCCGGAGCCGTGCAAGGATTTGGCGCATTGGTGGCCATCCGAGAAGAAAGCCAAGGCCAATTTTCTGTACGCACCGCCAGCGAGAATACCGAGAACCTGATCGGATACTCTCCACAGCAGCTTTTTCGACTGAACAGTTTCCTGGATATATTGAGTGAGGAGCAGCAAGATAACTTACTAGACCACATCGACTTCATTCGCGACGAAGACGCAGATCCAGCCATCAATGGACCCGAAGTCTTCAGTCTATCCATCCGCCCCCCGAAAAAGAAGAGTGTCAAGCTTTGGTGTGCGATTCACATTAATCCCGTGCATCCTGATCTCGTAATCTGCGAATTCGAAGTCGACGACGATCATCGATTCCCGCTGCGACCACCAGAAGAGGCCACGCCAATGACCCCCGAAGATACGTTGCAGTCAAACCCCACATCGGAAGAATTGGCGGAGAGTACCGAAATTCTAAGCAAGCCGTTGAGGGTGTTGCGAAGCGCACGCAAGCGCCGAGGCGACGCAGGTGCGATGCAGGTATTCGATATCATGTCCCAGGTTCAGGAGCAGCTTGCAGCGGCCATCAACCTGGAAGCTTTCCTCAAAATCCTTGTGGGCATCGTCAAGGAACTGACCGGCTTTCACCGGGTCATGATATACCAGTTCGATTCCTCCTTCAACGGAAAAGTCGTCACGGAACTCGTGGACCCCTCGCACACCAAAGATTTATACAAGGGCTTGCATTTCCCCGCCTCTGATATACCGCGACAGGCTCGCGAGTTGTACAAGCTGAACAAGGTGAGGCTTCTATACGACAGGGACCTGGAAACCGCCCGTCTTGTCTGCAGGGCGAAAGAAGATCTCGAGGTGCCACTAGACCTCAGCCATTCTTACCTGCGTGCTATGTCGCCTATTCACATCAAGTATCTGAAGAACATGGCTGTCCGATCATCAATGTCGGTCTCCATCAATGCCTTCAACGAACTTTGGGGTCTCATCGCCTGTCACTCATATGGCCGGAAGGGCATGCGTGTCTCTTTCCCCATCAGAAAGATGTGTCGCCTAGTGGGAGACACTGCGTCTCGAAACATTGAGAGGTTATCATACGCTACTCGACTCCAAGCCAGGAAGCTCATCAATACGGCACCGTCAGAGAGCAATCCTTCGGGTTACATTATTGCTTCTTCCGACGATCTTCTTAAGCTCTTCGATGCTGACTTTGGTATGCTCTCCATTCGAGGCGAAACGAAGATTTTGGGCGATCTTGAGCATTCGCAAGAAGCATTGGCCATGCTGGAGTACTTGCGCTTGCGGGAGCTCACGTCCGTGGTCACCTCCCAGGACATCAAAGAGGATTTCCCAGACCTGCGATATCCCCTTGGATTCACTGTTATCGCAGGCTTACTGTATGTTCCACTGAGCGTTGGAGGTAACGATTTCATTGTCTTCTTCCGCAAAGGCCAAGTCAAGGAGGTCAAATGGGCCGGAAATCCGTACGAAAAGACTCTTCGCGAGGGCACTCAAGCCTACCTCGAACCCAGAAAAAGTTTCAAGACTTGGCACGAGACTATCCTTCGTAAATGTAGAGAATGGTCAGAGGAACAAGTCGAGACAGCCGCCGTTCTTTGCTTGGTCTATGGCAAATTCATTGAAGTCTGGAGACAGAAGGAGGCTGCATTGCAGAGCAGCCGTCTCACGCGCCTCTTGCTGGCGAACTCAGCCCACGAAGTTCGGACGCCGCTCAATGCTATTATCAATTATTTGGAAATCGCTTTGGAGGGCTCCCTCGACCAAGAGACGCGCGATAACCTCGCCAAGTCACATTCTGCTTCAAAGTCGCTCATCTATGTCATCAACGACCTGCTTGACTTGACGAAAACCGAGGAGGGTCAGAGCTTGATCAAGGACGAGGTGTTCGATTTCGGCATGTGCATCCGAGAAGCGACAGATCCGTTCACCAACGACGCCAAGAGAAAGGGCATTGAGTATCAGGTCATTGAACATCCCGGACTCCCACACCATGTTTGTGGTGACAGTCGACGCCTCAGACAAGCCATTTCGAACGTTGCAGCCAACGCAGTGCAAAACACAACCAATGGATTCGTCAGAGTCGAACTATACGTCAGCGAGATACTCGAACGACGGGTACGCGTCGAGATTGTTGTCGAAGACACAGGCAAGGGAATGACGGCTAAGCAGCTCGACACACTTTTCAGGGATCTCGAGCAAGTGAGCGTCGAGACCGACGAAGTCAGCGCCCTCTTCCCAGATGACGATAAGGATAGCAAAGACACTAGGATACTGGGTCTAGGCTTAGCTGTCGTAGCCAGAATCGTCCGCAACATGGATGGCCAGCTACGGCTGAAATCGGAACAGGGGACCGGGTCGAGATTTGTGATTCAGCTGCCGTTCGACCTGCCTGGCGATGTGCCTGCACCCCCAGAACCCGGTCAGAAGTCTGCGAAGTCGGGCGCTACTTCAAGTGTGGCTTCTGTCACGACAGCCATGCCAGATAACGACGGCGAGATGATGCTCATCGATCGCGGCAGCAAGGTATCGTTGCTTGAGGAAGGCGGGACGGATGCCCTAGGTGCCGAGACGCAGAGCCTTGAGAGCCAGAAGACGACAGGCACGAGTGGAAGCAAGGCTAGTGGTCGAAGCGCGCGAAGTGATGCGGATCGCTTGATCGACGCGATTCAGACGCCACTTTCTATCGGTGAAGCTGAGATTAACCGACCAGCGACAACACGGCAGCAGTCTTGGGAGTACTCACATAGACCAAGGTCTTCAGAGAGCCACAGCACCGCAGCCTCGACCTCGGTCGCGAGGCGCATGGAATCTCCTACCTCGCGTCGACGCATCGAAGCATCTAACCGTCCAGAGGCTGGGTATGCGACAGTCACAGATGCGAAAACACCCGTCAGAGCTGTCAAGGTGCCAGATGAGTACACTGATCAGCCATCAATGCCACCAATGCAAGGCGACTCTTCACGAGTCCTCTTTGAAGTCAACAGTCGCTCAAAGTTAGGGGGTACATCGGAGGCTGGCACAATCGGTAGCACTGCCGGCACCGCGTCAAGCATCATTTCGAGTTTCGACGAGACGAAGCTGCAAGTCTTGATTGCGGAAGACGACCCTATCAATTCGAGAATTTTGCGAAAACGCTTGGAGAAGTCCGGCCACCAAGTTTTCCATGCTGTCAACGGCGAAGATTGCGCTGCTGTCTACCAGGAGAGGCCCGAAACCTTTGATATACTGTTAATGGACATGCAGGTATGTCATACCAACCGCTAGAGACTTATGTGTTGCCGACTAACGACTGGACTTACTAGATGCCAATTGTGGATGGCCTTACAAGTACAAAGATGATACGAGCCCACGAAAAGTCTAGCGGCCACGGTGGGCACTCAGCGATTGCAACTCACAACGGCCGTATCCCTGTATTTGCAGTATCTGCATCTCTCATTGAACGAGAGAAGGACAAATACATTGATGCCGGATTCGATGGGTGGATCCTCAAGCCTATCGATTTCAAGCGACTAAACACGTTGCTCTTGGGAATCGTCGATGATGAAATGCGCGCATCGTGTTTATATGCACCTGGGCAATGGGAAAAGGGCGGCTGGTTCAACATCCGACACACCGAGGAGAGAAAGGACGAAGACATGCCAACACCGGTAGTGTCCCCGGGGCCTGTAAGCATGGACACGTCTGTGGAAACCCCAATGGATGGATCCAAAGATTCATCGCCAGAGATGGACGGTTCCAGTTAAACTCGTCAACTCTTGGTACATCAACAGAGCTGGCAGTCGACACGGGCAAAAGCGTAGCCTCAAAACTATGCTGTTCAACGGCCTCTCTTTCGGTTTTCCTCGAAGACATTTTACACGGATATCGGCGGCGTAAATATCGACAACGGCCACCTGTATAACAGCAAGACCTCGATGGATTCTGCTGTTTGAGAAGGATTGCAAAGCTAGCATTCAGCCGCGCAACGGGGAAGGTTGATGTCAAAGGCGACGTCAGTGGCATTGCCATAATGGCTATTGGCGAATATGGAGTTCATGGGTCATTCAAAGGGACGGGCTCAAAACGAGACACAAGCTTGTTCAAATATGATGAAAATAGATTTCAGGGGAAACGGCAATGATACCATAGCAAAAGCATACGGATTGCATGGAGAAGGGGACCCAGGGGGTTGAAAGTCTTAGAAGACTCAGTCCTAGGCGGCGTTTTCGAGTTTTGCGCAGTGTACATGACATACTACGGTGTTCAAACAAATCATACTATTTTTACAAGTCTCATTCGGGAGGCATACTTCAGTCTTTGCTTGTTATCGCCATCTGACGGTTCCGATGAGTGTGTTCTTGGCCTTGGAGGATGGTGGTGTTAGCAGGGGGGTTGTTGAAGCATAATGATGACAAAGATGTCCATCAAGTTTAGATTCGTCCATTGAACATGTATACGAGGGTCGAGACAACTCTTCGGCTGCGGCTGAATCGGCTGCGCTTCGTGAAGCGCGCTGTTGTAGACTACCACGGAAGCATCGTCGGTAATGCAACACTGGCACGTGGCAGGCGATCGTCTGTCGAGACGGCGATGACGCGGGCATTGATCAACAGAGGTATTCGAGACCCTTGGGCATATTGAACTAGGGATTCCAATCTGCCAAAGGGCATAACAGATATGCAGGACAAGATTGTTGCGCTTATGTGTTGCGCATATGACCCCGTGACAACAAATCAATTCCGATCAATGTTCTACGGATGTTCTTTGGCATCTTTTAGTATTTGATAATCTGATTTGCATGCTGCGGTGCCATTCAAACTCGCTTGGCACGTTGAGGGTTTATTCAGATTTTCGTCACATGTATCAGATTTTACCCGGCTTCAGGAAGCGATGATCCTCTAATGCTCCCGAGGGGCAGAGGGGGGATGACTTGAGTCAAGCCTTCTGCTCAAGCACAACCTCAGAGGTGTCCTGAATAGTGTGTAGGTATCCGTAAAGGTGGCGGCGAATGGTATGCTCTATAGTCTGGAGAATGATAGCTTAATAGGAGAGAAGACTCGTACACGGTGAGGCGCTTCTTTTGCCCTCTTCGTCCTTGGTCAAGGTCTTGGTTCAAGGGTGAGGTTTTGCGTTGCCGCTGTGCCGGGGACGAACTGCAAGGTCACGACGAGCGACTAGCGACATGTCTGCACAGACATACCGTCGAGACAGGACGAGACGAGACTAGATGCGACAGAGCAGTCAATCGTAGACGACCGGCCCCACGACGGGGCCAAGGATCCGGACTCGGGTACGGCTGCTGGGCAGGGGAGAACGCATCAGGGGATGGCATGGGTGCGACTTGTGCTTCTTCCATTCGTCTCCGCGTTCGTACTCTGCATGTCTATGAATGCGTACTCGTTGGATGAACTTATATGCGCTTTAAAATGACATGAGGCGTGTGCTCCGGCCACTTATTCGACTTGTCGTCACTCTTTTTTCTCTGCCTCATATCTGGTATACTTGTAAAAGGATAAATGGTCTAGATGAGAGAGAGAGCAAGTAAAATCATGGAGAAATGAGAAACCTTGGCATGCGCGGGCCGTGCTGGGGTTGGCATGACTTGAACATATGCGTTGCAGTAGCTTCCGAGGTGGCCCGCTCCCGCAAAGATGAGTCTGGGTTCGCTTTTTCCGCATCTCCAGAGGTTTGAAAGCCATGCTTACTGCGTGCCGTTGATCACCCCTCGCACGTGTCAAGCATATTAAGTTGATGGAAAGGGTGTATTGCTAGGGGGGGGAAAAAGTGTGGAGCAAGATTGAGTTTCGAACAGGTGAGAAGCTGATATAGCAAGCCTCAATCGCTTATAAATCTCGTTTTTTTTTTGTTTACTCGCGAGGCCGCGAGGTCAGCTTGGTTAAGAACGATTTTAAACTCTTTTCGTCTGGTAATCTTGTGACTGAACATGTTGACAAGTTGCCCGGGAGAATCAAGTGCCGTTCTTCGCGGGAGCGGGGACGACAAAACAGAGTTCGACGGGATGGGATCAAGACAAGATTTCGAAAGAAAAAAAGACACTCAAGCTAAGAACTCTACAGAGATGACCGTCGTAGAACCGACTGTTTTCGTCCGAGATGGTGGGATGATGGATGGCAAGAGAGACTCAGAGAGAGATAGGGAGGACTGAGCGCAGTGGAACAACTGCTACGTCTCTGCCAAATCGCAACCATGATTCAATGTCGCAACCTTGCGTCCGGAGTCATCGAGCAAGGTCCCCCCGCTGTCATCGCAAAGCCCTCGACTGTCCGTGCAGGTTTGTCCTTATGTTCCCTCTTCTTTCTTCTTCGACAAAGTTACAACCCGTGGCTTGATGCTGGCCACAATTCTTACTTTGGTTCATTTATGTCTGTGAGTTGTGGCAAGGGCCAGCAGGTGATCTAGAAGAGCCGCTTCGCATAAGAGGACAGACAGGCGATGGGAAGGGAAGGGAAGGGAAAGCAAAAAACTCTGATGACATCCGATCTTTGTATCCATGACTGAGCCTCGTCTTCTCTACTCTTCCCGAGATAACTTTGGTGCCATATATGGCAGTCTGGTCTATAGGCCCTTCGCCCTTCTTTGGTTCTCGCCATTTGAACTCTGGTCATCCCTCGGGAAGTGTATTAAGCGTATAACCCCGCTCCCTCGCTCCTTCCACCACGATACCTATCTCATTTGTTCACATTGATCGAGTTTAGTGATCAAAGGAGTTGTGGACATGGATATGTCTCCTACTCATGAACTAGAATCTTTGGTTCGGATAAGCCTGTTTTTGGAAGCCTGTGTGAACTACTAGCGAACCCCTCTTTCTCGCCCCCGATGCTACAGGACTCTGGCAAGGAACTGAAGAGAAAGAGTCAGGACAGCTCCTGGCATCTCTTCGCTATGTTGTAGGTTTGCAACTCTACATGTGGAGCCTCACGCGATGTGGCTGGGTTAAGTTGACCCCCGGGGAAGGGAAAACCCCGTCAGCCTGTTTCCGCCTCCGTTTCCTCCATGCTGGAGTCTGCGCGGCTGCGAATCCGGCCGCACACACACACACACACACACACACACACACACAGATTCTGTGTAGGTAGTCTGCCACCTCCCCAGGATCAGTTACTCGGCGTTACAGGTCCTCCGTGTGAGAGCCTGAGAGAGGAGGGGTGCTGTGTACTTGTGTAGAAGATTGAATGACTCGATTACGATGGGCAGCGGTCACTGGCCTGGGATGGTGGTGGGCAGCTTAGACCCAAAGGCAATTACCTCGCGCAAACGCTGTTTGGAAAAAGTCTGGGTATCTGCCCGCGTGTCGTCTTGTTTCGTGAACCCTCCGCTCCCCCCCAGAACGCCTTGAACTGGTTCGTTTGCGTTGTCCGTTCCTTTACCTCATATCTCTCGTGTATCCCCAACAAACTCGTGGACAATCTCCGACCACATCATCCTGTTCACTCGCCTTTGCTTCAACATCCTACATTCTTCATTTGTCGACCGTCTTACACGGGCGGTGCCCGTCAGTCCAGTTAAACAATCTCAGCGGGAAATCTGGTCTGGTTCACTTTTGTCTATTATTTTCCTGTCGACGCAACCATGGACACAACAATCCCGCCAGAAGTGTATCAAGATGATCGGAGGACCACGGTGGTCGCATCTGTGGTCTTCTGCATCCTCTTTGTGACGGCAATGGTTGGGTTGAGGATCTATACGAGAACAAGGGTTATCGTGCTCTTTGGTATCGATGACATACTCGCTGTTGTGGCTCTGGTAAGTGACAGCGATCGTGCCTGTCTCAAGGTTGGGATGCTGACCTCTGGATCTATGTATTAGTTGGCAACAACAGGTTGTGGCATCGCCATCGCTCTCAGTAAGTCATATTTCGATGCCGTTATAAGTGAGAAAGATGAGCTGACAACTGTAAAAGTGACCAATTATGGTCTTGGCAGACACATCGTCGTCCTCAAGCCAGCGGATATAGTAAAATACATGCACGTAAGTAGTCTCACTCCCACCTCATCACCCCCTCAAACTAAGACTCCCAATCCAAAAGATGTTCTACATCTCCATAGTCTTCTACAACATCGCCCTCCTCGCCATCAAACTCTCCTTCCTCTGCCAATACTACCGCATCATGGCCGTCCCCCGCATGCGCAGAATCTACGCCCTAGCCTTACTCGTCGTCGGCGCCTGGTCCACCTCTCAAGTCTTCATCGCCGCCTTCCAGTGCCTCCCCGTCGAGGGGTTCTGGGACAAGTCCGTCGTCTCGCTCTGCATCCCCAACCAGCCGCAGTGGTACGTCAACGCGGCGGGCAACATCATCACCGACGTTGCAGTGTTTACGCTGCCGTTGCCGATTTTCTGGCATCTTAGCCTGCCGAGGAAACAAAAAGCGCTTCTTATGGGTATCTTTAGTCTTGGGTTCTTGTAAGTTCGACCGAACCGTTGCTTCTTCATCCCAATGGCTTGGAAAATGAGTCTCACACCCCGTGCGCACCAGCACCGTCGCCATCTCCATCGTACGCATCCAATACCTCAGCACACCAGCAGACTTCACCTGGAAAAACGTAGACGCCTCCCTCTGGTCCATAGGCGAAATCTCATCCGCCGTAACCTGCGCCTGCCTCCCGACCCTCCGCCCCCTCCTGACAAAGATGTTCCCCGGCCTCACGAGCAGAGTCAACATCACCTCGCTCCACAGCAACCAAACCGACACGCGGCCGGTCACGCACGCGGCAGCGACCCGCCCTTACTCGAACCTGCCCAAGAG